AATGCTAAATTGCAGGATAAAACAAATACAGGAAAGATCAGGTCACTTAAACCATGTTGGACAAAGTTTAAAGAACCAAGAAAGAGCAGCCTCTAGGTAGCTCAATGACCTAATCAGCATAAAACTAACTGAAGTGGTGCCACAATCAATTCCTTATCGTCAATTCAATCATGCTTTTATATTTCTAGTTTTACTTAGAAAATAAGCCCTTCATGAGGACCAGTATATTATCATAATCAATTTTACAATTTAATGAAAGTGATGGGAAAAAATTAATTGTATATATCCTACATGTGTTCCTGGATCAAAAAAGAATTAGTCCTACCATTTCGAAGTGAACCAGATCCCAGCTGTCCATGCTTGTTCCAACCAAAGGCAAAGGACTGTCCATCATCGGTCATGACGACTGTATGTGACCGCCCGGCATCTGCTTTCACTATTCTATGCCTGTAAGAAATAATAAGTAATCTTCAGAATAAATGTGGGATACAGTCCAATGGTAGAAAGACATTTCCACTGTATATAAGCGAGCGAGATAGAGAGAGGGTGGGAGAAAACAAAATTTAAAAATATCATTGGGACAAAAGGTCAAATTAAAAGAAAATATCCCAAAGTTTTTTTGAACTTAATATGGATGGATAGCAAAAATCTTAAATGAACACACTAGAGGAAACAGCTCCTGATTTGTAAGATCGGGGATGATTTAATAGAAAGATTAAAACATTTTTAGAAGTTAAAACAAAGAGAATGATAGTAATAACTAATAAGGATCACCAACAAAAGCAACAATGAATCTAGATGCCAACAACTAATTAATCACAGCAAAAACATACTTAGAGAGTTCAGATATAACTGTGGGCCTATCCCGTTGCAGAGTATCACCATGTCCCAACTGTCCTTTCTGTAATTACAATAACACTTTCAACATTAACACCTCAACCTAAAAAAATATGCAGATAAAGACCTAAAACCTTCAAGTTAGCAAATCCATACCTCATTTCTCCCCCATGTATAGCACCGACCATCGACATCCAATGCCACGCAATGACATGAAACTACATGAACATCAAATCAACATGATAGAAATTCTTTATCATAAACTCGTCATGTGATAATAAAGACAAGTACTTTAACTCAATATTTCTAATGATCATACATTATAACAGACCCACAAGCAAAAATGCATCAGCACAAAAGCATAACCAACAATTCTAAAGGTTATATAGCATATAATTGGCTAATTCAAGTTCACACAAACCCACTAGCATAAATCCATAGCATATTTAAAGATCATTGGCTTCGAAACTCACCTACTTAATGGCATAAATCACACATGATTACATGAATCATCCCTAACCAACATTTCCAATGATCATAAACATTATAATCCACTAACTACAGGGCATAAAACATAAACCCCATAACCAAAATTCACTAAACAACCAACAATACTAATAGTCCCAGCACAAAATTAACAACTTTAACAAAAATCCACCTCCCCTGAATAAAGCAAATTCTCTTTAAATGGATGAATTAACCAAAGTAAACTCACCGCAACCGGAGGCGACGAAGCGAATGTCGATACCGACAAGGGGCCGAAGCCGAGTAGGCGAATACAAATTACCTTCAATTCCAGTTTTCTTCCTACCAACAGTATCCCAATTAGTAGAACCACAAAACAGCAACTCTCCTCCTTTCACCTTCTCTTCCTCACATTTCTTCTCAACTTCTACTTCCGCCATTTTCACTGAAATCAAAAACAAACCCACATAAACAAAGGGGTCAAATTTACAAGAAATTAGCAAAAACCCGCAAAACAAAATGTTCAAAAACAACGGATCTAACGGCTACTAACCGTTGAGGAAGAAAGCAGTGAAGGGGTAAGGGCAAAAATGGCGGGAAAAGGGGAAATTTTGAAGAAATCGGCGATTAGGGTTTGTAAATGCCCTAGATCAGAGAAAGAAGAAGGAGAAGAGGAAGTGGGTATTGTGAAGTTTGGTGAGATAAAATAAAATACAAAGAAAAATTGGGGAAAAACAAAATTGGGGAAAGTGTAAATATTAAAGAAAAAGCGGGATTGGGTGTTGGGAGTTCCAAGAGAACAGAAACACCTTTTTTATTTTTCTTTTCTTTTTGCATTGATTAGGGTGGATAAAGCACTCCTAGTACTAGTACCAGTGCTTTTGATGAGTATTTTAACTTCCACTAGACACCACATAATACTATTTTTAGTAACTTTTTTGGGATATTTGTTTGAGGTAAATGAGTTTTGATTGGTCAAAAGTCAGTTTAATAAGTAAAAATAGGTAAATAATTACTTTCTCTGTTTTTTTACTTGACTTGTTTCTTTTATCACGCTTGTCAATGCAAAACTTTAACGATCAATAACTTTAATTCTCCAAAAATAAAAAATATAAAAGTTAGAGAAATTCTCTTTGATAAACTCGAATTTTTTAATTTTTTTAGTGGTAAACATTTAAAAAAATTATTATCAATGGTAAACCCTAATTATCTTTACTAATTCATTAGTAACATTAATAATGTTTATATGCAATTATAAGTCTAACCCTAGTCAACTAAAGGCTAACCATGGTTAATTATTTATTTTTTAATAATAGAATTATATTTTTAAAAAAAATCTCCTCCCCCACGCACCCAGCCACCACCAGACCCCCTCCCTAGCCAGCGACACCAAGCTCCCCACCTCCACCGACGATCCCCTACCCCTCCCTCCCTTCCGGCGACCCCCAACGCTCCCTGACTCCCTCACCTCCAATTCCCATCCCTCCTCCTCACTTACCCACCAATATCCTACCCCTCCGGCCTCCTCTTCCCCGAAAACGCTCGCTTATCCTGTTCCCTGCCATTTTGCCACCCTAAACACCATATGCGACGAATCCGCCTTATTTCGCGCACACAAAGTCCTACAAATCAGCCTTTTTCTTGCAAATTTGTTTGAATGGGTTTAATATAATGTAGTGAAATTGAGATGGGTCTCGAAAAATTAAGAAGTTCCTGCCTCGATTTATGGGTACGGGTTGTGGGTGAGGTGTTTGATTGCACGCGCAGCAACAATGTGGCAAAGCTGCTGTGTGGCGTGGGATGCTTGTGGCTAGGCGTGAGGTGCTCTGTTTACGGGTGTTGGTGTTCGCATGTTGTTGCGGGGGTTTGAGAAGAGCAGTCGTTGGTTGTTGTTGGAGGTGGCGAGGTGGTGCAGTCAGTGGGGATTTACTGTACCTTCTGATTAGACACGATAGGTTGAGGGTAGTAATTAGGGGCTTCTTAGTCATTCCATTTTTATTTTATTTTAAAGGCTAACCACGGTTAAGGAATCAGTTAATTATATCATTAATGTTACCAATGAATTAGTAAAGATAATTAGGGTTTACCATTGATAATAATTTTTTTTTAATGTTTACCACTGAGAAAATTAAAAAGTTCGAGTTTACCAAAGAGAATTTCCCTAAAAGTTATATATTATGATAGCTTATTGAGACGAATTGAAAAAGATCCTACATGAATATTTTTTTCCTTACATATTATTCACTAAAGACGGTCAAAGGAGGGGTGGTGAATAGTGTCAAAGTCAAAACGGGTCAAGTAAAAAAGAACGGAGGAAGTATAGCTCAATCTTTATTAGACTCAACTAGGGTTGGCTCTCTAAATCATATCCTTGTGCTCGATTGCTCTCTTCAAAGTCACAGCTCACAACAAGAATTCCTTCTTTCAAAATTTCTCATCCTAGTACTTAGATTAAACTTGTTGGAACTTAATATGATTTATTTGAAATGATTACAACTTATTTAAGCCTCGCATTTACTTATTTAAAATTAATGGATCTAAATAAAACTTATTACAAATCATCTAATCTTCTTTTATGTAAGTTAAAATAAGTTTAATGAATTCCTGGTGTGCCCTTTTTTTTGTAATTTTTTTTAAAAAGATTCCTTATAGAAAACAACTTTTATACATAATTAAAAGATTTTACTTGTCCTTCCATAATATATATTGCCAACAATAAACTTAAGTAGAAAAAAAAATTAGATTCTTATTAACAAAAATAAAAGATGTAACGTGTCTTTCCACAATACAACACATAGTTAAATGCATATTTTAAAATATCTTTTTGGCAAATAGGATCTTTTATAATAAATCCATTATAATATTCATGTAAATTTTCTCATGTACGGTTAATTTAAAAATAATTATTAAAAATTATCGTGCATGGCACGGGACCTAACCCATTAGCTGGATAAAATTTAGTTATATTGATGTGAGCGAGTCATGTTAGTGTTCGGGATGGTTAGCTCTAGGCCAATCCTAAGGATATCATGACCTAGCTATCTTTTGAATCCATCATCACCAATCTCTTATTCATCACATTAATTGAAAGTGGAGTTTATTAATTATCACACAAAAATAAAGACAAATATAAAGTAAAAGGAAAGGGGGGGGGGGGGGAAAAAAGAACAAATCCAAAGCTTCAAAATTTTCAATTTGACAAGCATTAGATGGACGACACACATCTGATAATGTTACTTCCCATAATACAGAGTATGTAGGAATTTACGTGGTACTTACTTAATCCCTCTAGATAAGTAGAAATTTCTATATACCCCTATTCTTAACCATATTTAGATGTAAACCCAATTCCTAACCAAACAAATTTATGCGATTTTCATGAATTTAATTATGGACTTTAATTTTCATAGCATAGAAGTTTATGAGAATTTTTACTTCCTATGTTAACCAAAGTCCACTAAGGCTTTGTTCTCTTCACTTGAAATAAGATCTAAGCTGAATTTTCTAAAGTTTGGTATAATTTGATTATACTTTGACATTAATTATATATCAAAGTATAAGAAAAAATATTATCAAATGGGATTTCATTTGATTCATCTCTACGTTTATTTTTCAAATATATATTACGAATACAAAATTAAAAATTTATGGCAATAAGCAAATGGAAGTAAGAACATTTTTTTTTCTTTTTTTTTTTTGACAAGAAAAGTAAGAACATTTGATTTGATATAATCTAATCCGATTTTAACTCAAAGTATGCTTATTTCTCTTTATTATGTGAGTAATAAATGTTAGGAATAAACATATAAATAAGGGACGGAGGGAGTATGAAGTAAATTTCAAGAATAAGGCGAAGAAAATAACACTTCAATTAGTTAATTTGCTTGAAAAAAAAAAAGTAGATGTAGAATGAAGTGGCAGGCTAACAGATAAGAAGCTACGAGTAACAGACAGCAGAAGTCCTGTTATCTCAAACTGAAACCTCGTTATTTTCTCTCCCCTCCATTTATGCCCTCACTCCTTTCATGGCTTCTTTACCTTCAGTTGCTGTCAATGGCAATCTCAAACTCGACCCTGACTTACGAAAGTCAACATCCATCTACGAAAAGGTATTAAATTTCATCATCACAACTTTAATTTTATTCTAGTTTTTTTTTTCCATGACTGTGTTACAGCTTAAAGTTGTGATCTTTCTGTTCATTTCAATGCAAATTCTTCAATTTAATGTATTCATGCATCAATTCACCTTTCTGGGTTAGTGTAATTGTCATTTTCAATTGATTCAGTTACTTCCTAGCTTAAATTTGGAAATTTTAATCAATTTTACACCCCTTTATTTAGTTATGATGATTTAGGATATGATTATGTGATGGGTGTTGAATTTTTTGCATAATTGTTGATTATTTGCTGCAATTTGGAATTTCAGAGTCCAAGTGTTAGCTACCCAAATGTTAACTTGGAGAAAAGTTTCATAACTTTAAAAGAGGCATTATCTACCTTTAATGAAGGTACACAAGTTGAATCTTCATTCTATGTTCCCTTGTTGCAAGAATGTGTTGCGAAACGATCTTTGTCGAATGCTCGAATGGTGCATGCCCACATTGTTAAAACTGGAACCCATGAAGATACATTTGTTATGACTTTTCTTATAAATGTGTATGCTAAATGTGGGCGGATGGAGTATGCACAAAAGGTGTTTGATCGATTGCCTGGGAGAAATGTTGTTAGTTGGACAGGGCTTATGACGGGTTATGTTCATGACTCGCAGCCTGAGGTAGCCATTCGAATTTTTGTAGATATGTTGGAAGTTGGGGCGTACCCAACGAGTCATACATTTGGGACGTTATTAAGTGCTTGTTCATCTATGTTACTTGTAAAATTGGGGAAGCAAATCCATGCCTACATTGTTAAATATGGTATAGAATCTGACACGAGTGTTGGTAATGCCCTTTGTAGCTTTTACTCCAAGTGTAGAAGGTTGTCTTCGGCTGTTGATACATTTAGAAGGATAGAAGATAAGAATGTTGTCTCATGGACCACGGTTATTTCTGCTTGTGGTGATAATGGGGATCCTATGATGGGTGTAAGGTATTTTATGATGATGCTGTCTGAAGATATTGAGCTTAATGAGTTCACATTCACTAGCATCTTGAGTTTGTGCTGTGTAATGCACGCTTTGGAAGTAGGGAGGCAAATTCATTCCTTGAGCGTCAAACAAGGGTTTCAAGGGAACCTGCTAATTGATAATTCCATAATGTACTTGTACTTGAAATGTGGATTGATTGATGAAGCAAAAAGACTATTTGATGAGATGGATTCTGTCAGCTTGGTTACATGGAACGCTATGATAGCAGGCCATGCCCAAATGATGGATCTTGCCGAGAATCGGATTTCTGCTCACCAAAGTGGAAATCAGGGATTAAATATCTTTTTGAAGATGAATAGATCTGGTATAAAACCAGACCTTTTCACCTTGTCAAGTGTCCTGAGTATATGTAGTTCTCTGGTGGCGTTGGATCAAGGGGAACAGGTTCATGCTCAGACCATAAAGAGCGGGTATTTGACTGATGTTATTGTGGGAACTTCCCTGCTTAATATGTACAATAAGTGTGGCAACATTGGCTACGCTGCCAAGGCTTTTGGAGAGATGCATACGAGGACCATGATATCTTGGACATCTATGATCTCAGCTTTTGCCCAACATGGCCGATCACAGGAAGCATTACAATTATTCAAGGAAATGTTAGTAGCTGGAGTGAAACCAAATAAGATCACGTTTGTTGGTGTATTAGCTGCTTGTAGCCAAGCCGGCCTGGTTAATGAGGCCTTAGAATACTTTGAAATGATGAAGAAAAGCTACAAGATTAAACCAATAATGGAGCATTATGCATGTTTGATAGACATGTACGTAAGGCTAGGGCAATTGGAGGAAGCCTTTGCTCTGACCAAGAAGATGAATAGTGAACCCAATGAAGTGATCTGGTCAATTTTGTTTGGAGGTTGTAGAAATCAAGGAAATATGGAATTAGGCTGTTATGCTGCTGAACAATTGCTCAAGTTGAAGCCGAAAGATAAAGAGACCTATATTCTAGTGTTAAACATGTATATTGCAGCTGAAAGATGGCAGGATGTCTCAAGAGTAAGAAAATTGATGAAAAATGAAAAGCTTGGAAAGTTGCAGGATTGGAGTTGGTTAAGTATCAAGGATAAAGTTTACTCATTTTCACCAAAAAACTGGTCGTATCCTCATAAAACAGAGGTCGAGCAATACTTGAGCGTGTTGCTTGATGAGTTCAAGAGTAAGGGATATCAGTCTCAAAGCACGCTAGTAGTTGACGGGGAGGACAATGAAGCAGAACCTGCATCGTCTGTACATCACAGTGAAAAGTTAGCCATTGCTTTTGGATTGTTGCAGACAAGTAAAGGAAATCCACTAAGAATTGTCAAGAATATTAGTATGTGTAGGGATTGTCATACATTCATCAAGTTTGTCTCTGAAATTACTGACCGTGAAATCATAGTCCGTGATAGTAAGCGACTCCATAGATTTGTCGATGGACATTGTTCTTGTGGAGATTTTGGCAATCTGCTATAATTTAACTATTTTCTGTTTGCTTGGGTTAGTTAAATCATACTACCCACCCTAAAATCAACTTCTTATCTCAGATATACTTGCATTTAGTTATGGCTACCGAGGTAAATTTGCATTCTTTGAGTCATTTACCATACAAGTATAATAATTTCAGGCAGGGGACGCAAACTCAAAACAAGAAGAGCATGAAAAAAGTGAGTGAAAGCAAGAGTAGGGAATGGAGGGAATGAAGCGACCACCAGAAGAGCTGTTGATAGTTAGCGAAAACTACTGCAAGTTTGAATGTTTAAGCCAATTGAAGAACATATCAAACCTATTTTATACTGTACAAGCTTGACTGCTGAAATACTGAAAGTCGATAGATGTCAAGCTAATTACTGGTACTAAACAATCCAATCTGGCCATAAAGTGTCAGTGAAGACAATAATACACATACATCTATTCTCCGAGTATGCTTTTAAATTATGTCATACATATAGATATAGTTTTCATCATAGTCGACAAAACAATGATTTAAGCCGAACTAAAGATTAAATGAATAGATTTCATGACAATGAATTGGGATATACTGTAAATACACATATATAACATATATACGCTATCAGACTGCTAATCATCTTAGAAAGGTGCCAACAACTTCTGAAAAGATACCATGTTATCTAACTCTTTGGAGCCTTGGCATCTTGCTGAGACTCTGTAGACTGGCTTTGTTGATGCTCTTGGGTCTGTTGTGGTGCCTGTTGGTGTTTTTGGTTGTTTTGTTGCTGCTGCATCTGGTACATGTTGTATAGAGAAGGCTGCATCTGCAGCATCTGGTTATTTGACATTACCTGATGGGGCAAGCAATTCTGAGGGGTGTCACCTCTGAGTTCACCAGCTTCAATCTTCAGACGCTGGACTTCTGCTGAAAGTGCTTCATTGAGAGCTGCAATATCAGGAAAAAGAGAATTATAAAGCATAAATGGTCAGTTTGAAGCTTTTCGATCCCTTCCTGATAAAAGTAAATCTTAACATAATTCCACAATTACAAAACATCATCACAAACATGAAATCAGACTGCCAAACCCCACATTACCCCAAGCCACAGGCTCAACCAGAGTCTGAAATGTTTTATGTCACCTCAAACTGAGTCAAACACAGGGTAGAGAACAAGGATATGCATAAACATGTCAGATGTTCAATGACTACAAATTAAACTGATGATGCCCCCAAATTTTTTTACTAAAGACAATGAGTGGGAAGATTATTTGGTCATCAAGTTAAAAGTAAATCTTAACATAAGTCCACAATTACAAAACATCATCACAAACATGAAATCAGACTGCCAAACCCCACATTACCCCAAGCCACAGGCTCAACCAGAGTCTGAAATGTTTTATGTCGCCTCAAACTGAGTCAAACACAGGGTAGAGAACAAGGATATGCATAAACATGTCAGATGTTCAATGACTACAAATTAAACTGATGATACCCCCCAAATTTTTTTACTAAAGACAATGAGTGGGAAGATTATTTGGTCATCAAGTTAAATTCTGCATGGACACTGCATCTGACTTGGATCATGGGCTGAAACTCTGAAAGTAACATTTTAAGGTCAGTAAAAAATTAATTTAAAAGAAGAAACTGAACCGTCGAGTCCTTGACTCTCTACAAGACCTGTGCATGCAGGAAAACCAAGCCCCTTGAAAAAGTATTTACTTCTCGAAAAAGAAGAAGAGCACTAGAGCAGACTTTTTTGTTATTGTGCCTTTGGTTGGGCAACAAAGGATGTATAGCTAAGACACAATAAGGACACGATAAAATTTTAAACCCTCCTATATGAAACCAGCTGGAGCTTTTGTTTCTACAAGTTTTATGAAGTAATATATTGATTCAAAATGCCAAGCCTTTTTCAGCACATACTGTCAGGCTGTCCCCGAAGCTGTAGTATACTTGTATAATTACTAGTTCTTTTCAATATATTTTTTTCATCTCTATTATATAAGCCAAAAGGTAAGGTAATTGTCAAAAAAAAAAAGGGTAAGGTAATGGTGTCCACCTAAAATACCTAAATTATCCTGAAATTTTTACTTATGGGTGCATAAATTTAGATATCTAAAGCACGCATCGCGTGCATATAGATCAAAGCAGTAACATAGCATAAGTGCATAACTCTCTCAAGTTGTAAAGGGGTATAAATTTCTACAAATTGCATAAGGCTACAAACTTATACTTCCTCCGTTCTTTTTTTATTGCACCATAGGAGTTGAGGCGTTGAGCACAAGATTTTTGGTAGTGGAAAAAAGGATAAAAGAGAAAGGTAAAATTACAAGATTGTCCATGTCATGGTATACATAAACTAAAAGAACAAGTGTTGAAGAGTAAGGGTATATTTGGTATCTGTAGTGTGAACACAAATATTTCTTTTCCTAAAATAGAAATGGTGCAATATTTGTGATACTTCCTAAAAAGGCAAGTGGTGCAATTTTAAAAAACGGAGGAAGTATTAAAGATTCCAACTTGGCCAACAAACCATTTAATACCATCACCTAACATCAACAACATAGATCAGCTACTACCAAGATTTGGAGGGATGTCTGGGAAAAATCAGAGCTAGATACATACATCCTTACCTATTAATAAAATATATTGTAAAGAGACTTATAAAATCATAAACAATTTTTTATTTTTCGAGGGAAATCACTAACTAACTTAATCCTTCGAAAACGCATACAAAAGAAGATGGCTGTCAATCTTCAAAGCAAGGGCTGCCAAAATATCGACTCAAAAAATAATATTCAACAGGAAAAGGTTAGGACGGACAGTTTACTAAAAATATATACATATTGTGCAGTCAGTAGACTTCTATCATCCTAACCTTTGACCAAAAGGGTGTTAATGTGTTACTAATTATCCCTAAATAGTTAAAGAATCTGCTGCTAAACTTGTTTCCAACTAAATAAATCTCATCTACTGCTTTTTCTGTTGGGGCAATTTCAAAGCAATATCCTTTCTAGCAAGTCGCATCAAGCCATCAATGAATCACCCTATTTGCAAGTCTCCAAACCACATAGAGTATTTTCAGATACCAGCCTAAAAATTTGGTTGCAATTTGCATTTGGGTTTTACCACATAATGGACAAGTGCATAATATTCTTCACATGTGGAGCTAAGTTAGAAGTTGAGCTTGAGCTGCATTTAATACATGATTACACACCGTTTTCACAAAATATGATCCTTTCAAGCCGTATATAATGTTTCAATTGTTAACTTGGAATCCAGTAAAAATATTATTCAGAACATCAAATCACTTCTATAAACCGATCTAAATAAAAATTATGACTCGTATATTACTACAACAATAACAACAACAAAGCCTTAGTCCCAAAATGATTTGGGGTCGGCTAACATGAATCGCCACAAGGAATCGTACGATATAATGAAAAAGACATAACAATATCATCTTTTAAAAGAGTTTGAAAAAAGGTGAGTAAAGTAAGTAAATGAAAGAGCATTTAAGAAAAAAATTAAGGGAGTTTCAAAGGGAACCAAAAATAAAATTCAAGAAAGTTTTAAAAGAGTAGTAAAACGCTGAAGTAGAAAACATAAAGGTTTGAGAAAACTTTAGTAAAGGAAAACAATACAGTTCATAAAACATTGATGGGCTATAAACAAAATTAAATACAAAAATAAATTTAGAAAGTATATATAATCACGACACGTCGTTAATGTTAATTTCCTCCCTCCACACCGCCCTATCTAACAACATATTTTCCTCAATCCCCAAAGCACTCGTGTCATTCTCAATCACCCTCCTCCCACTTTTCTTAGGTCTTCCCCTACCTCTCGCGATCCCAACACTTTGTAATTCTTCAAGCCTTCTTAACGAAGCGTCACTTGGTCTCCTTTTTACATGGCCAAACCATCTTAAGCGATTCTCCCTCACCTTATTTCCTAAAAAACAGAAAATCACCATTTCTTCTTTTACTAGCTAAGTGTGCCTATCTATTACAATTTATAATCATATTCCCTTTCAATTTTTATGACATCCTTTTCATTTATGCCAAAAACAGTTTGTCTTTTCTATTAAATAAAGATATGTATAGATGCCACTCCCACTACACAAGATTCTCATACGAAGTTTTGTTTTTTTGTTTTTTTTTTTAATAAAAATAACAAGTGCAGCACCCTGAATTGGGAGTTTTCATAACACCATTACTCATGATGTGCACTCTTTGCTCTAACATAAATCGCAAGTTGACAATTAGATAAGCTACTCTCACAAAAAAAATCTTTCAACATAAGATGGGACCACTCAAAAAGACTATAACACCTTCATTTCCAGCAGTGAAAAGCTTTTATAATTTGTTTTTGTTGTTATGCATATGCAAATCAATGCACCAAAAATGATGCCAAGTGGCCATCAAACCAATCTCAGATATCAAGGGAAATTTTCATTTCACAATCAAGATATAATATTGTAAACAGGATAAAACTACCCAGGAATCAATCAAAAAAGTTTCGTGATGATTAATTGGAAATGCCTCAAGGATCTGAAGTAATGATAAGAATGAGAGGAAGACAGTTCTAAAATTAACATTTACAATTTGAACCCATTAAATAATGACAAGAATCAGAATACAAGTAAAATAAAGGAATATATTCTAACTGGGCTGGATATATTCTTCATGATCAATATTAATAGCACAAACGCATTGGATCACTGCAATAAACAAAGCATATAACTTTCTCCTCTAAAAAGGTACTTTAAACAGGGGCAGAGGATTCAAGAGCAATATCTGGCAAAAATTATTTCCTAATCTGTAAGAAAAATACAGGAAACCTAGACTTCATGATCATTTTCTGACCCTTCTTTTGTCTTCTAAGGGATATAAAAGGAATGAATTAACTCAACTTGACATGAGATGTTGCTTCAATTACTGAACATTCTGACCAACACAGAAAGGAATAAACAATTCACAATATAATACCTAAAATTACCTAATTACTTTTCCCATTACTATAAACTCTTCCTGTCAATCAAAAGGAACTAACATTTCAGGATACAGCACCCTTAAACCATATATTTATTTTTGCCATTTTTATGAACTCTTCTCATCAACTACTCAGCTTCGGCCTAATATATCTTCAGTAGGCCAAAGGCCAACCAATTACTTTCTACATCATCAATAATCACACCCAATGCCATTTAGCATGCATACAACTAAATTAGAGAGTAGTCTAAGGGGTGAAACTTGGTATCAAATTTGAAACAGGTAAGGAAACACAATTTGCTACCTGGTTTTGCAAAAAAGAGTTCAGAGATGTACTACTCTACCAATATGGACAGAGCAACTGGCACGTTTCAGAACATAATGTAGGTCAGGACCAGTGCATAAATCATATAAGAAATGGAAAATGATGAAACAGCTGAAAAGCATACCATCCCTAAGTTGGGCCTGTTGCTCCATGGCTTGAAGACGGAATTTTAACTCATTGTTCTGACTAGTAAGTCCAGCAGAATCCCTCTGAAGAAAGAAACAAGTACACTTGTTTAAGTCTCAACTGACAATAGCAATAACTTAGAAGAAAAGCAGAGAAGCACAAAAGCAGACAACCAAAAACATTATATTCACACACACCTGAAGATGTGTAAGCTGAGCAGAAAGTGTAGTAGCTTCTGTCTGTAATGTTTGCACCTTATGCTCCAACTCTGCAATGTATCTCAATTTCCGTTCCTTGGAACGAGCAGCTGACTGGCGATTGGCTAAAATCCTGAAGCAAAAAGCATATAAAAGTAAGAAAACTAAACGATCAGCAATAACAAAATATAAATACAACAGTTACAAACAATTTGAACATTGTTCAAAACCTCTTTACACGCTTCGGGTCTGACATTGCAATTTCAGCTAATTTCTCATTTGCCATAATCTTTTTCAGTTCTGCAGGACTAAAGTCACCATTGGCAAACTCCAAGCTGAATTGACTGTTATTCCCATCGAATGAATTGCTAGGTGAATGCTGAGCTGACCGAATACCAGGCGAAGGTGGAAGCTTGGGCGACTCATCACTAAAATTCAGGTTCCCCATAAAACTATCCATTGAAAGACTTCTGAAATGCCTACCAGTTGGAGCAATATCTCCAGTGGCACATCTTTTGCCTCTCTTTGAAGTAGCCCCATGAACACCATGAGAATTCCCAGCAATGCTACTTTCAACTTCATTCTCACTACTATCATTAGTCCTCGTACCACTCGCCCTACTATCCATATCCTTATCCTCCATACTCGACGAATTCAAAGCATCAAGATTATCCAAATTCATATAAGCTGAGAACAGATCATCCACCACTTCACCCTCAGATTTCCTCTCACCACCCCCTTCACCACCAGCATTCCCCGCCGCCCCACCCCAATCGGCCTCACGCTTCAACACAAGCTGTGCCGGCTTCTCCCTCTCCTTCTCCTTCTCCTTCTCCTTAGCCATAAACTGATTCACCGGAGCTTTCCCACTCGAAGCAAACCCCAACGGAACATCACTATTAGACCGTCTATGTCCTCTACGAGGCGGTAACCCCTCATTCACATAAACCCCACTTCCTCCCTTAAACCCACCATCTTTCTCCTCCACAGAAACCTCATTACACCCCGAATTCGGCACTCCAGCCTCCCTAAACACCGTGGGACTCAACGGCGGCAAATTATCAAAAGAAAAGAACGACGATTGCGACAACGACCGCGAATGCGTCGGCCCTGAACTAAAATTCTGACTACCCCCAACTTGCTGGGGAGCAATTCTGGGAGATATAGAATGTGGGTGTGATGGAGGAATTCCAGCAGGTCTCTTACTATTACTACTATTAACACTATAATTACTCTGATTAATCCCTTCTAATACACTCAAATTCTGCATTTGACCACTAATTCCCAATTGATTAACACTTTGCTTATAAACTGAAGATGAACAATTCCCAAACGATGACTGAATTCTTTGCATAACCCCAGTTTCATCACTACCCTCCATAATTATGCCCCTATTTTACAAACCCAAAATCCTAAATCTCCCCCAAAACCCCCCAAATTCTTCAAAACAACAACAAATCAACAAAAATCACAAAACCCTAAAAAACAGAACTTTCACTAAGATCAGAGAAAAAAAGTGAACTTCACCTTCAATAACAGTAGATTGAACAAGAAGATTCTGGAAAATTGTAAACTTTTTAGTAAAATCGTGAAGAATAAGAAGAAGAAAAAAGAAGATAAAATGATTCGATTGAGACTAGCGCGAAGATTTTTCGCAATTTTCTCTCTCCTCTTGCTTTGGATGAGTCACATACATACTCAATTACTCATGTGAGTGAGTAAACTTTTTTATATTTAATTTATTTTAATTGTGAAATAAAAAAATGAAAGTGAATATTTGGAGATTTGGTATTTCATGTGAGTTTGGTGTGAATGTCAATTTCATTCCGACGCGTTTTGACTTTTATAATTACTCCAATTAATAATTAATAATTTAATTTTATAGATAGTAGAGATACCCGTGATTTTCGGACTTTGGTCTGACCGCCCTATCTTATCTGACCGGATTCGTTGAATTTCACCGCCTTTTGAGTAGACAAATATACATATGACATAGGTTTTTCTCCTTCTATCCTTTATTTATTTACATGTCTATTTTCAATTTTTTGTGGAATTAAGAAATTTAAAAATTATAATTGGGAAATACAAATATGCATGTGGGATTATAGAGAGAAATAAAAGGTAATTGGTAATTATTGAAGAGATTAAGAAAGAAAGTGTTAGAAAATAATGTCAAAATTACAAAAAAAAAAAAAAAAAAATTAATAACAACTCATTAAAAAGTGGGAATATTGTCAAAAGTACATTCTTAAAATAGAAATAGGCATGTAATTTTGAAACCTCCAAAAAGAAAAGTAGACATTTAAATAAGGGACGGAGGGGGTAAGTTTTAACTCACCACCTCACCTTGTTGTTAACTATTGTAAGAAAGACGTGTTAATGTTTTATCATAAAGTTGATTGAGTTGCAGATTATGTTACGGTTTAAGTCATATCATGCAAATTAATGAAAATGATTATTTATAGGGCATGCTTTGATTGAGAGAAATGTATTACTAGGGTAATAAAAGTCAAACTAAGCAAAATAAAAGTAGATAGGGAAGGAGAAGACAGTGATAGTGTGCTTGTAAGAAAAATTATGTAGTGATGGTAAGGTATGAGATAAAGAAAGAGGCTCATTTTTGGGGTAATAGTTACACTAAAGGGAGGGTGTGTAACTATTACCCTCATTATGAGGGTAACAAATTCCTCCATCTCTCTTTTTTCCTCATGAAACAACTACCTTATTTCATTTGTAAACATCATACCTCTTACAACAACACTTTTAATTACTTATATTTTTTCAAGTTTGACTTTTATTACCCCCTTAATGTATTACCCCCAATCCAAGCATGTCCATAATAATAAATACGACTCCCTTTGTCCCTTATTTTTTGTCTCATTTGATGTTTCACGGTCTCCAAGACGTGTCTTTAAGCGTATATATCTCCATTTCTATACATGCAAAAATTATAAAAACTTGATATTAATAGAATATACTATGAAACGATTCTAACAAGAACCCACATGAATATATTATCACTTATAAATTAACGACAATTCATGGTCGAAGTTATATAAGTTTGGCCCATATATTTATAATGGGGCAAAAAATAAGGGGCGAAGGGAGTATAAATAAATAAATTATAAAACTTAATCTTTTTATATACCGTTCTTAAATAGAAAAAATATGAAACAACACGAATTTTTATTACTTGTACTTCAAATAATCTAGGGATGTATTACCAATTTCGCTTTAAAAATACTCTCTTCGTCTCACATTACAAAGTCTATTTGGGTTTTTTCACAGGATTTAAGAAAGTTTTAGATTTCTTTAAACTAATTATTAGAAGTACACATGTGCATGTGGAGTTAGAGAGAGATGGCGAGGAAAAAAAAAAGTAATTGGGAATAATGGAAGAGATAGAGAAATAAAGTGTTGGAAATTGAGGTTAAAAGTACAAAAAAAAAAAGGAAAAAAAATGACAATTCATAAAAAAAAAAAGGGTAAAATAATCAAAAGTATAACCTTTAAATAGAAATATACGTTGTATTTTAGCTTACCCAAAAAGGAAAACAAGATTTGTATTATGAGACGGAGAGATAATTCCGTAATTACTACTCCTATCCTACACTTATTATTGGAACATTTGTGTACGGTTATTTTTAGGTTTTAAATATGAAGGCAATATCTTTCAAAAAAAAGGAAGTATGAAGGCATCAACTAAATACAAGTAATTAATATTACGCAGCGTACAATTTTTTTTTAAATAATTATGTTTTTTTTGTAAATAATTATGTGGATAATGAATGAGGTAGGAGGAATGAGTACCAAGAAATAGATAACATTGTTTATATTTTGATGGGATTTTGACATTTTCTGTATTGTGTAGGATGTATGTCATTGAATGAAATTTGTATATAACATATTGAGAACGGCAATGTTTGACATTTAATAATCAATAAAAAGGTTTATTTTTATTGGAAATGTTGACTTGTTAATAATTGTGGACATTACAAATTAGTGACACAAATTTTGGTTCACCAATCATTTGCATTATTATGAAAATTAGTATAAAAACACGTTGAGCTTGACATTTAGGAAGCTAGTACAACGAATTATGATGACTATCAACTATATAGTTATGATAATGAAAACCTCAAAGTTTGCCTCTTTGGACATGAACAATGTGTTTAGATTAAAGGGAATGAAGGTCAGGTAAAAATGAAATGAAATTGGAGGGGAGATTGATATCTTCAACAACAGACAAATTTAGAAGAATAACTATTCATCATTTCCTCTCTTCCCTTTTCCTTTCCCTTCCATCCTCTTCCCCTTCACCCCCCCCCTTTGTTTATCCAAACACGCCGCAAAGATGAGATAGCTCTTGACATCAACGACATGCTTTTACGTCTTAAGCCTCTCCCTATCCAAGCGATTTATGTCTTGATGTGTTAAACCTCCCTACTTGGAAATTATTATGCAAATTAGTATAGAAACACGTTGAGCTTGACATTTAGGAAGCTAATATAACGATGACAATCAACTATATAGTCATGATAGTGAACACCTCAAAGTTTGTCTGTTTGGACATGAACAATGTATTTAGATTAAGGAGATTGATGGAAAGGAAGAGATAAAATATCCTTCATTTGGATAATAAATGAGGACGGGATGAAATTGGAGGCAGACCATTAAGGCATTTTATTATAAGAAATTAATCTCTCTAACAATAGAGAAATTTTTAAAAGGAATTCATCGTTATTTCCTTCCTCCCCTTTCTTGATCCAAATACACCGAAACAGATGAGAAAACTCTTAACACCGACGACCTGCTTTTACGTCTTAAGCCTCTCCCTACCTAACAAGCGATTTATGTCTTGATGTGTTAAACCTCCCTACTTAAATATTATGTCATAGTTATCAACCATTTCTAAGATGTTAGCTTGTTTAGTATGTTATTACTATTATAGAATTATTCCATGTGTTCATGAATAAGTGCATCATGATTCAAGAAATGCATTTGACATAAGTCAAGGCTCAAGTTCATATAGGCCAATAAAAAACAATTTGGTTAGCTAATCATTGGCTAAATCAATTGGATAATGATATATTGATAAAATTCCTAGACTGAATTTCGAAAAGTATAATTTATATTCAAACTATAGATAAAGCTCGATAACCTAAATTAAAATTGACTTTAAAACCAATCAAGTAAATTGCTTTTAATCATAAACCTACAATAAAATTCAACCATTATAATGATACAGAGTATATAAATCTTCACCTAAATACGACCTCTATCTGAACCCAATCCGATAATTTGACTTTTACAGGGCTACAAGTCCCACCACAATCTAGGACACACTTGAATACTTGTAAGTTTTCGGGTCTTAAGAATCACCAACACCCTAAAAATACACAAGCCAACAACACCTTATGCTATACAAAAAAAAAAAAAAAAAAAAAAAAAAAAAAAAAATCTTTTCCGTATTTGGGCCTCAGCCCTTAAATATTACACTGGCCGTCATCTTCCCCAAATTACAACTTGCCAACTTCCTGAAAACCCTAATTTCTCAGAAAACCCCAATTCTTCCTCTCACTATAAATACCCAAAAATCATTCCAATATTTCAAATATCAGTAATCAGCAACCCCCAATTAGCAAATCCGCCGCATTCATTTTATTAATTTTCCTGCATTTTATTGCTTTCTTTTATGTAAAGAGGTCAAATGATGCAAAATTTTCATTGGAGTGATTGCTCAGAATCTTTCTGGGTGTATGATAATCACCATATTAGATAGGAAGATCTGATGCGTCCTCTCAAAAAAATTATTTCTTTTTCTCAAAATTTGCATCTTTTTTTGATTTTAAATGAATTTAATTTGTTTTTATAATTTTTTTGAATAGCCGGTGATGAATGTAAATTATTATGGTTGATTGCAGAAAATGCATTTGCATATTGTTGATAAATTTGTACTAGGACGGTCTGAGGCTATTTTTACTGAGTTTGAAATTTAGTATCTTTTTCTTATTTAAAAATTCTGTTTTTAAAATTATTTGGTTGAGCAATTTGATGTATTTTATTGTATGTTCTTGAATGTAATTTAGCAGTGATTGAATGAGTGTGAATGATGAGATTATATAAAATTCACAGTTATCCCTGTCTGAGAAATCTGTGCTGAACTTTTGTGATCTGACACACAATTTTAATCCGCTGCCCATAAAACTGTATTTCTTGGGAAAATTATTTTTGGTTGCTTCAAATGTTTTCTTTCAATTTGTGAAATTCATAATTGTGTGAAGTTATTTACCAAAAAAAATAATACTTGTAATTAAGATTAAGGGCTTATTTGGCATCGTTTTTAAAATAAAAAAAAAACAAAAAACAGGAAACAGGAAAAAAAAAAAAAAAAGTGTTTTCACTTTTCTGAGTCAGTTTTTAATACTATTGTGATTTTAATAAGTTTGACTATTTTTTAATTTATTATATGACATATCATATGGCTATAAAAAAAACTAAATGCCAAACAAACCTTAAATTGTGTCTTAAGTTCATTTTTTTTTTACCAAACTAAAAAAACGAATGTGGTGAAATTTGCTAGTGACTGGTTCTCAGTATGAACAAAGGAATTATTTTACTCATACTTGTTAACTAGGTTAAACCCCGTGCAATGCACGGATGTTGAATAATTATAAGTCTAATTATATAAAATATAATGAATTGATTCACCCGGTATTATGTAATATATTAAAACGATAAAAACATGTGAGAAAATGTTTAAACATGTTATACTTATGATGTGCAAGTTGGTATTTTAGAAAGTTTACTTTAGATTTTATATAAAATAAAAGTCATAATCTAGACGCAAACTTTATTTTAATATAACGATGATCTTTTTTAGAACAAAAATTTTGACGGAAAATTGTTTAATAATATATTGTCAAGTATCCCCTTAGCTTCGCTTTTAGTAGTATGTAATTGATTCTAGTTTCTAGAGTTTCACATGAGTTCACATTATTAGAGCAAATGAAAATGATCCCTAAATTAATCTTTTACAAATCTAAAATAATTTCCTCATTGTTGTGCTCATCTTAGTCGCAATGAAACTTGACTCTCAATGATTTGATATTGGGTGCTTAGGTGTGTATGTACTTTGAACTCGTTTCCAAACATACAGTTTAAAACTAGGTGATTAATAACTTAGGGTCTTTGGGATACCCAATCATCTCTAATGTGAACTTATCTTAGATGTAAACTAGGTGTAAAGCCCGTGCGATGCACGAGTATTTTTTTTTTTATTATTATTCTTAAATAAGAACAGATTAAGTCATAAATATGAAGACATCAATTATTACTGTAATGGATAAGCTATTACAATTATTTTTTAAGAAAGGGTAAATTGTTACAATTAATTAAAATCTACTTTTTATCAATAATCATTGTTGAAGTATTTGATCATTGTTGAAGTAACAACTATACCAAAAGGCTTAGTAGAATCAGCAAGTAGGTCTTTTTGTCTTGAATAATTAGGAAATACATTATCCCAAATCTTGAATTAGATCGTTGTCCCCTAACCATGATATCAAAATACAAATAATTTACTAATAAATCAAATATAAATTATCTTACAATAATAAAACTTAGTTTATTGTAATTGATAATAATAATATATACAAATATATTTAAATAATAATTACCATTTGTTTTACAAACTCTTAAATAGAACTGGTTCACACTAATTTATTGTGGACCACTTAAAATAGAGATAATACGGTCATTTTATTAATTTTAAAAAAAGGTCACTATGTTAAAATAATGATCATTATGTTAAAATAAAAGTGATTGTTTTTATAAAGGTCATAAGAGATAAATTTTTTTAAATGAAAATTTTTAAAATCCTGGTCAATATGATTAATATAGATCACTAGGTTAAAATTAGGATCATAACATCATACTTCAGGTTCGCAACAATATTAAAAATCACGCAAATTTTATTAGAGGTTATTATGTTAAAATTAAGGTTACTATATTTAATATTAGGGTCACTATGTTCAATACGAGACCAGTTACGCACATGTTGAACTTCGGATCCACAATAATATTATTGTAAACCAGGTTCATACAAGTTTTTCTGCATTTGTTTTCTATTTCAATTGAATCTCCAATTTCTTTTACAACCATACCAACCACATCTTGTAAAAAAAATAATATAAAAAAATAAAAAAAATAGTGAAACGAATGATAACACTATAGAAATTTTTTACAAAATAAAAATTGAAAATATGTAAAATATATAACAGGGAGTGTTGCATTACTACATATCTAAATGTTGCAATTGAACAAAATCAAATATGTGCAACGCAATTTTATTATTATCTGCAACGCCCTTAACAGATGTATTTGAAAAATTGTATCGTTATCTTGTTATCGCTCACAACACGATATTCATTCTTGTTAGGTACAACAGAAAAATATCGAATTATGTAAACTTTGCCTTCAATTAGTTTTGAACGAAATTGTTGGACAAATTTTCCTTTGATTGAAGCATGGACATAATCACCCTACATATGCAAAATAATATTGTATGTTAAAATAATATTGTAAGTTACACAATGAATTTCAAAAGAAATTATATATTATTCAATGAATTTAGAACGATAAGTATTATCAAATAAAAAAAATAAAATTAAAGGCATACCTCTTCGTCAATTAAAACCATGTCCAAACTAATCAAACTATTATGTTTTCGAAAGTTCAAAACATCAAAAAGCCTTGATACGCGTACTTTAGTTTTTCAATCATTTTTGGAAGAATTAAATTCTCGAATCGACGAAGTAGACCTAAGAAAACAATACAATGAAAAAAATAATTAAAAATAATATTACGAGTAATTATAATTTGAAAAAAAAAATTGAGTTTAAGGAATTACACTGACATTTTCTTAAACCTCAATATGAAATTTGTTTTGTATGAGGTATTGTGTGATTCTTTGATGGTGCGTGAATTAAATTAATGCCTATTTATAATAATAACAAATCATAAGCTAATTAAATCAATTTATCTTTTTTCCAACTTAAATTTTATCATTTTATTAACTATTGAAATACGAAGCATATACGTATCCATAAAAAAAAAAAGTATATACGTATGACCAACATTAAGTTATTGTAAAAGGATAAATTTTTTAAATCAAATTATTGATATGGTTATAATGCGATGGGTTGAGCTCAGTAGACATTCGTATGCACACGTAGCAACATACTTTATAAAAAGCTTAGCAATTTCTTGATAACACTACTTTGCTTAATTAAGTTAATAAATCATTCCTTTTTACACAACACGTCATTCAATGCAAAAAAAAAAAAATATATCAAATCAAATTAAATCGACAACTAATGTCACATTATCAATTAAGGAATAATTTTTATTTCTTAAGGTTTTAAAGATAAATCTTATATCTGAAGATGATTATCTTAAAAGATAATGTTTAGTTTTTTACATAAATTAAATCCTTATTTTTAAATCTCATTCGTCAATTTTATTTAGATGGCAAATGATTTTTTAATTCCAAAATAAAATAGAAATTATGTGGCAAAATTCTTAAATCTTATTCGTCACTTTTGTTTAGGTGGCAAACGAATTTTTTAATTCTAAAATAAAATAGAAATCTGATTTTTAATTGGTCGAAAACATACCCTTGCTTATGTGGCGCGTCGAATGCTCTCCAAAAATGTCTACTTTATTTATATATATATATATATATATATATATATATATATATATATATATATATATATATATATATATATATATATATATATATATATATATATATATATATATATATTAGATTAAACTTGAAAGGCTCTATATTAGGTTTTAATAATATGGAGTTATTACTCATAGTTTACTTACTAATGGATTTATGGAGCTAGCTTCTCCAACCCAATCCGGTTAGATGACCACCTCAAGACATTTTATGGACTAATGACAGAGTTTAAAAGTAACCTTTATCAATTTCAATTGTTAATAAGGTCAGACAATTGGGTTGAGCCTTCCAACCTTGAGATTGGGGGTGGGGTTCAATTTCTATTGGGAGCACTATACGGGTAAGGATTTCTTTTACCCTTCTCCCCTATTTTCAAAGTGTCTAGTAAGCAAACTTGACCGGATTGACCTGTGAGAGGTTCCGATCTGATAGGACAGTTCTACTTACCGTTTAAAAAAAAAAAAAAATAAAAAAATTGAAGAGAACAAAAACGTTAACTTGGAATTCAAATTTAGCCGTATAATATGGAGTTTGCTGAACTTGCAGCATTTCAGGCAGTTCTTCTGGTTTTAACCTAGCAACATCAACACAATATTAGAACTACATGCTAAAGTTTGAAATTTTTTCAAACCCAAGCCTAATGGATGTTGATTAAAGAATTCAAAACGCATGGGCAGGTATGGCGATGGACTCATTCTCATCACTTATCAGAGAAGAGAATCATATAGCTTTGCATTCAGAAGAAGCACCGACATGTTTGGGGATCTAAGGGTCCGTTCTCTTCACCCTAATCAATCTTAAGTGGGCTGTCTTTGCTAATACTGTCTTAGTTTAGTCTAAAGACTTTAGAATCCCTTGTAAAATATCCTAGCCATCATCTACTATAATGTGAAGCTCAACAAAACTCTGGACCAAAGAGATCTTGCCTTCTTGATTAAGCTTTCCTCAGGAAGTAATTTCGGGGCCTTTATGAAATCCTTTTCGATGCAATATTCATATACCCTAACTAAAATAGACAATAAAGTACAGGCTAATCCACAAAATTAAAAAAATAAAACGAGCAGAAAACATGAACTTCAATTTTCCAACTAGCCCTTTATAATGTTGACAAAGCAACTTTTTCTCATAAAAGAAGGATGTTACAATTACCTTAACACTACGCCCACCATTACAGATACCTTCAAACACTAAATAGCTGCTTTACATGTACCACGTCACAAGAAGTGCCGAGTTGAAGGCCATGCTCTCTTACAATTGCATTTACCAGTTCATAAGCTCCACAGTTAGACCCCAAGCCAAGCAAGAGGAGGTAGTAATTTATGAACACAACCATGGGCCTCAGGAAAGAGATTCAAGTAATGATAATTGTCTTCAAATCCGCCAATTCAAACCCTCCCTTGTATCTGGCATCCACTACTACATATAAATGGATCTAATCAATTCAAATCTCTAAATCTATATTGCACTACCTGATGGTGATGTAGCGATTTGTCCCATGTTTAGCCCAGTGATCTTTGAGGTCTACTGGAGTTGAAAGATCATGCCCATCGGCAGCAAGCCTACTTAGTAGTTTGCTGAAGGCACTACCACTCATCTTTCGACCACCAACTCGGGCATGCCGCTTGTTAGGTACTGCAGGTAATGGGTACACTGACATCGTTGTTGTGCAACATGAGGACTGCCATCCTCCATTGCCCCATTTGTAGCACTGCCGATAAACCCCAGTACAAGAGCAAACAGGTGGTGGCATATTTGACTCGTCAAATGCTACTTGATTCAAGCCAAGATCTGGGCCCTTCCAGTCAGACTTGGGCCCACCCAGTTGCTTAAAACCATCATCTCCATCCATGTCTGGCATTCCCTTCCACTCTTGAGGTTTGGAAAACATAATCTTATTTAAGTCCTCACCTTCTCTCTTACCCTTGCGTCCGGATTTCGATGTTTTCTTGTTTGGGGATGCTGCATTAGGTTCTTTCGTCCGTTTTACTTTCCGGGGTTTTGCGCTCTCAGGAGCAACAGAAGTCAATGGTAGTGCATCTGGTACCTGAATTTCTCTTCCATCATAAGAAGCTTCACCCACATGAGGAGGATGCTGAATATGTTGCTGAGGATGGTGCATGTGTTTCACACCACGTGAAATTTGGCAACTGGGTGGGCAACTGTTACTACCGTTCATAGAATTTTGTCGAAACTGGAGTGTTGCTAGTGCATTATCCCGCTCCATAAAGGCTTCATTTCTTTCCTGCATAGCAGTATCTCGTTGCATAATTGCCATGTCTCTCTCTTCCAAGGCCTTGTTCTTTTCATTAATGGCCATATTTCTCTCTTGGATCGCAGCATCTCTTTCAGCCATAATGGACATTATATGCTTCATTGACTGTGGTTGTTGCATCAACCACTGGAGGAAAAACAAAAAAAGTCACAGCCATCAGAAATGCTATCCGACAAAGGAAACAAAGTCTACAAGCAGAACTTGGGTGAAGAACTAGGAAGACGACCAATTTTCGTCACTGTACCTGACTATGTGGTGGCTTATACATTTCGGGCTTATGTCTACCGTTCTCACGATGCCCACTATCATCCATTCTAAAGCAAAAATTGAGAAATGTCACAGATCACTAATGTTGCTACCTCTATGCTTATTGCGACCACCTGTTTAAAAAGGCCAGTAAAAACAGAATATAAAAAATCAAAAGTAAGAAAACTGAAATCCCAATTGAAGGTAAACAAAAAAATTTAACATAAAATTGAAAGGTAGCACCAAAAAGATATACCACAATACCCACTCTATAGCCTGACAACAAAATCTCAAATGAAACTAAGTTAAGGCTGATCTGGAATGTAAAGGCTGTTCCATAAAGGATATTCAACTCACTGTTTCACAAAAAAGCCACCCTCAACACATGTCTTATAAACATAGCAACATCTGCTAGACAGTTATGTTGCCAATTCAGCCATTACATGTACTGATATTAGTCAATTTCACACACATATTATAGTAGTTATTACAAACTTTAAGAACCTCAATTTTCTTCCAAAAATAAAAATCAAGGAGTACCTCATATAATTTAACATATGATCTACAAAAATATCTTCTAAACCTATTGCATTACGATGAAGATGTTACTGACACGCAATTTTTTCAAATCGTAAACTCATGCTGTGAAGCAAGATGACACAGCGACTGTTGCACTTACTGCGATCTTGACCCATCCTAAGATAAAAACCTAAAGTGGGATCCAACATGAATAGAACGTTATTGCAAACTTATGACATAATTTATGATAACACAGAGTAATTAGCATAGCTAAGTGAATATCAGATACTTCTTGTGCTGTAGGAAAGGAGAATTAGCGTCATTTACAGCTTCTCCAAAAAAACGAGCAGATATAAGGAATTACATTAATGATATATGAGACATCTTTAGTATAATTCATCAGCTTTGAGTGGTCTAAGATAGTGTTTTTTTTTTTTTCCTCTCAGCAAACTCTTGGAGCTTTACTATTTGAAAAAAGCAGATGCTAACATCAACATAAGGCAACAGATCAAGAAATCATGTGCAATTGAAGAATTCCACTAACAAATCAATTACTTTTTAGGTTAATTGCAACTGCTACTCTTAATTAAGAATGTACAAAACAAGGCAACTAGGAAAGGTAAGAAATAAGGGGAATATATTTCAGAAAGGAAAAAAGCAAGGAAAGGAGTCTTCTAAACAAGCTGTTCTAAACAACTGCCACTGCTTTATTCCTAAATTGTGTCCAGGAAGAGCAAGAAAAATCAACTGGTCGCATTGTTAAACTCTACTAAAGAGTAAATTTGATATATTCAGCTGCTGGAATTAGAGATAAAATCTAGATCTTTACACAATTGTGGAAGTACAGAAGTACTAGCATGCAGTCCTATCCTCTACATAAATGATGAAATGCATCAGAATATCCCATAGATATAGCATAGGACAGAAACTTCCGTTTGCCCACAGATTTCTATGAAAATTGTAGTAGAAGAAGCCATGAGCCCATGACTATGATTTGCAAATTACTTTTCCAAAAAAAAAAAAAAAAAAAAAAAAAAGCATAATTACACTATAGTGATTTTGCTGCGAGTTCAGAAGAGAATACCACAAGTCCACAACGTCTATCAATAATAAGATTTTGAATAGATATTTCTAGATCCACAGCAATCTAATAAACAGCAAATTTACCATGCTTCTGAAATAGCAATATATATAGGAAGTGGTGAGGTGATATTACCTCAACTATGGAGGTGTTTTAGCATTAAATTTGTGAAAGAGAACATGTTGGTCAGCAAGGAATCTGCATTACACAAGCTAATCAATTTTTTTAAGAAAAATAATAAAATAAAATAAAATGGAGGCATTATTATAGAATAATCCACATATTTTCTGTAATATTAAGAAACATCTTTTTTTTCTACTGTTTCTATTATTTATTTTTCTGTAAGAAATGCCATTCAACTACTCATGATGCACGGCATCCTGCTAGAAATTCATTTCTTTAAATTTCAAGCATAAATGGAGTTGCTGATTAGGTCTCCATGAAAATTCAAACAAAAGAATTACAACAGCACATTAAGCTCTGGCAACACAGAAACAAACAGGCAAAAATCTATTTTTATGCAGTTCAATTTAATTCTTAGAATGAATTCAAAGAAAAAATAAGGCAAAAACACAGTGTACAAGACATACAGATGATGACATTTATAGGTCATGCAGCTTTAGCACATACAAAAAGAAACTGAGCGAAGGGAGGGCACATGTACTAAAACAAGATAGGGTTAAAAGAAGGGAAACTGATCAATTAAAAGGGAAATTCGGACAAGTGCAGAAGCATTAAAGATGAGACAGCACATACACACACAAACACATAAGGTGAGCATTAATCACGCAATACAAATTTCCAGAGACAATAGTACATTGGATGAAAGCAACAAATAAGATATCACAATTCCAAAAGAACTTTGATGGTAGGATACAAGTTTGTAATTGTCCTGACTATACATGTTTGGTCTCCCGAAAGGAAGCCAATAGTAGTACATCAAATAATTGAATAAGAGGGTCAAGACTGATTGTGGGGCGAGACCCTAAAAAAAGTTCAAGAATTTATTTTGGAGAAGTAGCGCTGAAAGGAATGATGAAATTAGTAAAAAATCTATGAGATTTTCAAGCAGAAGATCTTTGAGAAAAATATTGAACCAGGACGGAAAGGGGTAAAAGTCAAGTCTAGGCATACATCGCACAAAAAGACTCGATTTGAATTGTAGTTTAATTCTCAAGCCAAGAGAAAGACTAAAAACCCAAGGAAACACCATTGAGCAGACCAAAAGTAAGTCAAATTCTTTGACAGTGGACATCAAAACTCCCAAAGTTCTACTCTTTCACCAAAAATGGGGGGAAACAAAAGACATCTTAATCAACCATGAATCACTCCAACATAGAACAGCATTTATCATCAAAAAGATTAAGAAATTCCTCCTTAGCAATATGAGTAGGTTGTTTCCTAAGAATTTCTCACAATTCAACCGATAAGGGAGGGCAAGGAAGTTCACATAATCATGTACACTTGTATAGCATATCACCTTTGCTTCAGATAACATTTCTTGTAATCAACTTTGGTCAACCATACATACACTTCACTTCATATCCTCTCTCGAGCCTGTGACTTCCACGATATCATTTGCCATCTCTAATCTATAAACTTCGAACTATCCGAAAAATTCAGTACCAGACAAGTGGCCACGCCACAAAAAAGGGAGAATCAGATTCCATTATAAACCAATTGGTGATATGTTGCTCCTTTCAGGATATAGGATCTTATGTTTTCGATAGATTTGCACTATAGGATGAGCAAGACATTGAATTCTAATAGTATAATGTAACTAAATCCCCGGCAACTCAAATATCCAATTGTCCAAAGCAGACGAATTTATACTCGAAACCAAACAATTAAGCTTATCAACACAAACAACACTATACATACAGAGCCAATCAACCAAACACTAATCAAAAACTCAATTACTTCAATTTCTTCAGAATTCACCAAAATGAGCTCAAGTCAAACACCCCAAAACAATCAAAAACCCCAAAAACCCCACAAAACCCAGTCAACCCCAGAAAAAAATAATTCAAATTAACAATAAATCAACCACATAAACAACCCCAAAAAGCTAAAAAATCAGAAATCAGCAATCAAATTAAGCAAAAACCAATCAAGTAAAACACTATTTAACATAAATTCAAGCAAATGATGAAAACTATGCTGATCAAAGCAAACAAAAAAACACCAAAAAAAAGTAAAAATTAAAAAGATAAAATCAAATGCAAGAAGTACAAATTGAAGCTTACCATAGCAAGAGGAAAAAATGGAGGAGAGAGAAAAAAAAGAGTGTAAGAAAGAGAGAGAGAAACCCTAAATCGGAGGGAATATAGTAAATGAGAAATGTGGGAGGAACAGTTGGGGGCTGGGGATGGGGAAGAGAGAGAAAAAATAGGTGATGAAAATGATAAAAATTAAAGTAAAATTAATTATAGTGGAAAATTAAAAAGAATTTCTTTAGACTTTCTTTGTCTGATCACTGTAAATTAATTTTTTTTATAAATTTTTTTTTTGAGATTGTCTTTTTTTCTTTTTTTGATTTCAATCTTTTTCACTTTCTATTGTTTTTTATTTTACTGTTTTCAGACTTCAGTGGACTAATTCAGCGGGTGTGTGACTTGGGAATGAGAAATGTTTTAGAGCGGTTTTCTTAGATAATGCTAATTTTTCGACTTTAAGTGTATTTATAAAGTACGATTACTATGACTGATTTTACTGATCTATGTACTCCGTAATTTTAAAAATAAATTAATTTTTTTTTCCTTGTATTAATTCTAGAAACAGAGAATGTATATGTATTTGTATATTTTTTATCATTAATAAATATATTTCAATAATAAAATCAATAGATCTTTTAGGGTTTTGTGTATATATATACAATCATACATAATTTGTTTGGATAGTCTAGCTCTCCACTTAATCATGATGAGGTCAATAAGTAATTTTGCCTATCCTTTTCTGTCATGAGGTAAATAATTATTGCTTTTCAATAATAACTATTGTTTTCAATACTTTAAATTATTGTTGTTAAGCTTTAATTAGCAGTTTCCTTTTTATGTGTATCATTTGGAAAGATGAATATACTCTTTTACATAATATAAGATCTATTTTTCGTCAAAATATGTACTGGTACTGTATACTCCGTAGTACATGTTATTTAAATTGATACAATATTTCTTCCAATAATAATAATAATAATAATAATAATAATAATAATAAATCAAAATTAATTCTAAGTACTAAAGTTTACTTGATACTACGTTACTATAAGAGATAAAGTATATTATTAATTAATTATATTATGAAATTAAAAATAATTATTTGAAAAAGAGGAATAGTCACGTTGACTGAACACCGAGGTCAATAGATTAAGTCATGTAAAATAATTACTTTTTCAAAAAAGTTGAGAGTAATGGATAACTCAAGTGGTTAAAGCTTCCCTTCTAGTTTCAAGAGATTTTGGGATTTAAAAAAGGTTACGTAACCGCTTAAAAGTAATATGACAATACATGTCTTCCAGTATCCCAGTAATCCCACCACGTGTCACTATTAGTTTAAGATGAAAATGTTATTGACAATTGTCACACACACATGTGTATATATATACTTTATAAATTAAAGCCAAAAAAAAAAAAAAATAACCCTTCCTTGGCATAATGGTACATATAACATAAATAAAAAATTTAATTCATGGCTGGAATGATTAAATTGGTCACCATATATTTATTTGGGACAAAATTGTAATTGGTCTGGAGTATCATGAGGAAGTGTAGGGCTTGAGCCTGTGATTTATCGTCCTAGTTGGAGTATCACAATTCACCATTGTTATCGTGAAGCTAATTGTGCTATGAATTGACTCATAACAATGAAATTGAGTCGGACCAAACCTTCTATTTTTTAGATGATTTCGGTTGGACTTTGTGACATTTAATGAAGGACTCTAGCGGAATAACTAGCTAGAAAAGCGTCGCTGTGATAATTTAATTAATTTGTCTTTTGCTTATTTGTATGGTTGTTAGTTTTGCCTTTTTTTTTTTTTTTTTATACCTTTTACTTCATTTCTTGCTTTTATTAAGGAGTTTTGCCCCTCTCTAAAAAATATGTAATTGGTATATGGATCATCATGATCTACAACTTGATTTACATTTACCAAAAATCAATGAATTGGTAAATTTTTTTACAATTGCACTAAATTATGCCATGTATATTTTTTAATTTTTTTTTTTTGACATGAATTATGCCATATATTATGGTAGTGTACAATAAAATAAATAAAATATTTACAAATTGTAATGGTTAATGTCATTGATCTTTATTAATTACAGTGACATAAAACTTCCTTTGACTAAATAAAAGGGGAGAAATTATTATGACCAGTTAATACTCTAATTTCCCAAATAAAGTAATTGCAACAAACTATGGGGGTCACAAAAATAGTAGGATACGCCTTACATATGCTAAGATTAAAGTGGTTTCCATTTTAATTGAAATTAGTGTCAATGTGACTCATTTTTCCTTTTAGCTGTGCATCACTTGCTAATCTTATACTGGTAAGATTAAAAGAATCATATTCTGCACTTTATACTTTCACTTAAAAAAGGTTCACAACAGTGACATGCCTCAATTTACTTGAGAATATACAAATCATTGTACCTGATAAAGTAAAGGAAGTTATAGAGTAACAAGCTAACAACATTTCCGAGGGGGACTTCTACCTAATAAAAATCTCGGAGATATAGTTCTTCAGAGCGAAGCGTGACATAAAGCGTAGCATGAAGATTCATGGGCGGTCTGATGTTCATCTTCTTTCCCAAAGGCTGAATCGACACAGGATTTGTGCAGCATATTCGAAACTAATGGTGCAAGTGCTAGAGCAAAATTTGGCAAAAGTATCTGATTGATTGCACCTGACTGGCTGTCTACAGCAATATACTTGGAAGCTGTTGTACAAAGCCATCAGACAGAAGTAATTACTAAGGCTATTGATTTCTGACGTGCACCCAAACTTGGAAGCTGTTGCACAAAGCCATCAGACGCAAGCATCTAATCGGTGTTTGTTTTCTTCTCTATGCTTGATTTAGTGAGTATGAATACACCAACTACAATCAGTAAGGCACCTGCGAACCACTGTTGCCAGAATTGAGATACAGAGTTTAAAGTAGCATGGCAATAATAAAACTCATTATAAGTATATCATATGCGTATATGATGATTGACAAGATTTAATATGGCCAAGGCATGGAGCTAGGGACAAAGACATGGAGCTGTGAAGTGGAATCTGGCTAGAACACCAGACATTCAAAAGAAATTGTAGCACAAGTAGTAGATTAAAACTTTGAAAAATACAGTTCACCAAATCATAACATGTACTAATGATGATAACTAAGATGTGTGGTTTTTACTTTGTTCTTAATTGTGTAACTATGCAAATGAGTTCTCGGGGTTAAGAGTCTTCAGAACAAACTTCAAAGTGTGGTTTTTACTTGGTTTTACATCTGTCCAGCACTCCATACAAAAATTTAATCTCATTGATCGACTCAAATAAACAGCTTCAGTCAGATGGGAAAACAAATTAATGCCTACACAATTCCATTGGAACTACAAGACCAAGCAAGTTCATATAAATATAGTTCATATTAATCTTTAGTTTATCTAACAAGAGTTTATCAGATAAAGCCTTTCGTATAATAGCTGCAGCATTTTTATATGTTAGTTACTTTCCATGAAGAAACCCAAATTTTAAAGAGAACTAGGATAGCTTAGCTTAACATGAGGATTGAGGAAGACAATTGAACATCAATAAATCAAGGCCAAAGTTGTTAAACTAAGACCAAAAAATTGACCAATATGGTTTGTCCAAATATGCAATGCACAAAAGAATCTATATAGAAGAAAGGAAATTCACAAGAATGAGACTTTCTTTACCTTGGCTGATAATGTCTCTCCAAATAAAAAGAAACCAGCCAGACCAGAGGAGAGGAAATTTGTAGCAAAGTTTGTCACAGTAGCTTGTAGAGATGAAAGTGCTCTAAGGCTGTTGACGTAGCATCCCCACATTGTCACATTAAACGCAATTACAAGGCTGTATTTGACAAGCTGGTCACAAAAAAATATCCACATTAGTTACTGTTTAAGTTACCTATACATAACATACTTGGGTCCAGGAACTATGCAATGCTCAATGCACAAACATAATTTCACCATGATAACAAAAATGACACCCCGACCCAAATACCCGTTACCCAGCACACACTCGACAAGAAAAATATCCCAGTGAAGGATATGAAGCTTTAATAGCTGCAAGTATTACACACAAGACTACAGGGGATTGTCTTGCTTCATTGCCTTGGCTAAAACTGGAGAAAAATAACCAAAAAAAAAAAAAAACAAAGTTCCATAAAAGATGATGTTGCAAACTAAGGGTGTTGTTCCAACATGCCATTTAGACCAATGTGTATGACAAGCACATCTACATGACTACATCACATTAAGTTTATGCATCAGGAAGTATCAAACCCTCATTGTTGTGTATCATCGCTCATCAGGATGAGAGCTCTATTATTGCAGTAAAATAGGGTTTACATTGTAGTTTCATTACAATGCATACAGTGACAGAAATGAGGCATAAGGGAGCTCTTCCCATAGAAACCAGAAGAGAGAGAGAGAGAGACAGAGAGAGAGAGAAGCCTAACTGACTTTTTAAGCTAATGAACTCCAGAGCTTAGAAATGAAGAATCTAACTGAAAGTTGTCAAATCCACAAGCTGAGCTGGCAAGTGGAGATGAGATTCATACAGCAGGAAATGTAGATATTGAGGCAACTTGAAGCAGAACCCAAAGAAGTATCATAGGTGGTTCAAAAATCACTAGCAAGCAGGAATTCAAGATCGTTAAATAAAAGTGTACCAAAAAGTTTTTGAGCTAAGATAGCAATAAAAGCCAACAAGAAAAAGGGAGGCAGCTTGGAAGATAGTATCCAATGAAGAATTAGAGTCAACATCTGGGTTGGTAACATACTAATATTGGAATCATGTAATACACAATTACTAAGCCTGACTTGGGTTCACTTCTAACCATTGTCTTAAAAAGCAAACAGAAGCAGTAATACATTAATACCCATCAATTTGCCAGAGTACCAGATAGATTCTAAATTCTAACTATTCATCCTTCAATTCTTCCTGTTCCCTTCTAGCTAGGTTATAAAAGATAAGCGAGTAAACTCCAATTTACCATCTGTATGCTCTCTCTTCATCTATGTCATTTTTAAATTGAAATATCCATAATATACTCACTTCCAGCTTGAATTAAGTTGTCTACAGCCTAAGAGTCTGGAGACTCAACTTTTATGGATTCTACTCATATTCTCTTTCTACCTTCCCATCATTATATAACACCATATTACATAGAAGATCAACATACTTATCTTGCCATATTCAATACTACTATCAAGGCATACATTCAACATGTATGACCAGTTGCCCAATATGTTGCCTGTGAATCTATTATACCAATGGTTCACATTTGCCAGGCACTGTCAACATAGCCTACACCAAAGGTCGTGTATGATACTGGCTATGGTACTTCCCATATGGTATTTTGCCTTGCAACTTGTTTCGTACGGTGTAAATTACTGACTTTTGTGATATCACATTAAACATTTCTTGTTTGTCCATTACAATGCATCTTAGCAAGGTAACAAGCAAAACATAGCCTACACCAAAGGCCGCGTAGAGCACCAAGAGGCAATATCCTACCCTAGAAGATAGTTAATCGATCTTTGAGTGCATCACCAAAACATGTCGAATCTCTCACCACAACAAACTCCAATCCAAACCCTCACAATCAAAGCCCTTTCCATGTCAAAAAAACAGCACCATTTCAAAATTAACCAAAGATTATTCGTGATGTCTACTTAACAAGGTCAGACCAAAAATCAAGCTCCAATATGATCTTCATTGCTCAATTTGATCCTCAAAAAACCAATTCCAACTTAATCAATCCCAGTTAATATATTTGCTTTTAAACAGAATTCAGGCTAAATTCAAATCTAATTTCCATGGATGACCAAATTTCACATACCAATTAATAAATTTGTTCCAAAAAATTCAGCAACTTGATTTGTCCAACTTTTCTCAAAACCTATTCTAGTTAATCAAAACCCCATTTGAATCCCTATGATAAAATCACAAGAAAATAAACTGATGAGTAAATTATGACAAAAATGAGTAAAAAGAATGAAAGAATTTAGCACCTGAGAAGAGAAGAACTTTGCAGAAATCGCAGCTAAGGCTGCGGTGAAGCCCGCTGCTACTGCCCATGCGTAACCTTTACTCTCTCTCTCCCTACTTCCCATCTCTGTCTCCAAGCCGCTGGGATGCCTCAATATGTGATCCCGTCAACTCATAGTGTGTTACTCGAAAACTGACCAGATTACCCGACTCGAAAGTCAAAATATGTGAATCAACCGACCCTATTCAAACCAACTTGACCCGACCAAAATGACATACGGAGTAGCAAACAAAATGAGCATATTAATCCGACCCAAACTCATAGCCAATTCGAAACGGTTTGACTTAAACATACTTCAAACTAAATTGAACCAATTCGAACCTAATTTGATTGTCGCCTCCCCACAATATGAAAATTTAATTTCCTAGTAAGTAAAAGTATTTTCCTTCAATAAAAAGTTAGAAAAAGTATTTCAAAAATGAGTTTTTTTTTGGTATTCAAATAATTTAAAAGTTCGACTCAACTAGACTTGAGAGATTATTTGTACTAGTTGTGTTTAAGTTAAATAGTCATTTAGTCAATATTGTGGTTCAAATAGTTGAATTTTGGTACCATTTGATTTTTGCTTGTGGGCTTGAGTTTAAGATACATTTACTCACATGACTATTTTCAATATATATATTCTTTTTAAAGAATTTTTCAATATAACTATTTGAAATATATTGTAATAACTACACCCTTCATCCCTATTTTTGCCCTATAGCAGATATTTGAGTCAAATTTTAATAATTTTGAATTTAAATTCTCGATAATCTATAAGAGCTAATATAGTCATGTGCAATCTTATTGGATTTGTCTCATTATATATATATATATATATCTTATTGGATTTGTCTCATTATTTATTTATAAATATATATATATACACACATATATTTTCTTTTTAAACACGTACGAAATATAAAGATACATGCGTTTTAGAGACATAAAAGTCAAATGGGATAAAAAAAAACTTTCTCTATTCTTTTTACTTGACTTGTTTCTTTTATCACACTTGCCAATGCAAAACTTTAACGATCAATAACTTTAATTCTCCATAAGTAAAATTATAAAAGTTATATATTATGATAGTACTTATTGAGACGAATAAAAAAAAATCTCACATGAATATGTTTTTCCTTACATATTATTCACAAAAGACGGTCAAAGGAGGAGTGGTAAATAGTGTAAAAGTCAAAACGGGTCAAGTAAAAAAGAACGGAGGAAGTAGGTATTAGAGACTAAAGACTAGAGAGTACTTTTAGCTAGTAAGCTAATTCAAAACACTTGGGTTTCAGTTTCTTTATGTTTTTGTTATTGAATTCAATAAAACTACACTCTTTGAAGGTAGTAACTAGTAAGTAACCCTTTAATGGGTTTAAGTGTAGTAAGTGCCCCTGTGGTGGGCTTTGTTCTAGTTTTGTACTTTTGTTTTTTTTTTTTTTAGTTTAGTATAGTGTAAGTTGTTTCATGAGTAAAGATTTGTGTAGGATCGAAAAAGAGGTTAATCATTCGATTAAAATCAGATGAATCACTGCACGATTTCAACAAATCAATAGACCCCCTCGTTGAAAAAGACTGTAAATCACATCGATATAAAGAGAAGGGTATGAAAGGATATTTTTATTTGATTCAATTGTCATATATTTATTAGATTTAAATCTCTTTATATATATCGTATGACTTTTTTTATTTATGAATCAATTTTTTTTTAAAAAAAAAATAATAATAGAGAATACTCTTGGCTAGTAAGCTAATTCAAAACACTTGGGCCTATGGGCTATCCAATTGAGATGTAAATTGGAAATATTGAACAAAACGAACCTGACCCAAAGTTTATAATTTGGTCCATACAATTACTTAAATCGTTAACCAATCTCACAATTACCGACCTACTACATAATAATCAAGAGATAATTACTCCATAGTTAATTGATTAATTATAATCAGATAAAAGAAACACAAAAGATGTTATTAATCCACCAATCCATAAAACCAACCAATCAGAACTCAGTATCTCAAACAACAGGATTGATGACGTGTCAAGATGGACAGTAATGATTACGTGTCCATGCCCCCAAATTCCACCCCCTTCATATCCAACAAATCAGAACCCCTTTCTCTCTCTCTCTCTCTCTCTCTCTCTCTTATAAAAAGGCTCCCAATATCAAATTCCCAAAAACATCCAACCAAATTAATTAATTTCTGCTTCTTTCAAAGACCCTAGTTTCCGATCTCCAGGTACAATCTCTCTTCTATTTTGTTCTATCTCTCTTGTTCTAATTGATTTATTGTTTTATTTCTTCAATTTGATTTTCTTGTTTGTGTGTTTGAATGTTGACTGATTTTTGTTAATTTCTGGGTTTTATCTGCAGATTTTTCGTTTGAATTTGATTTCCAATGGCTCGTACTAAGCAAACTGCTCGTAAATCTACTGGTGGTAAGGCTCCCAGGAAGCAGCTTGCTACCAAGGTATTTCTTCTTTCCTATGGTTTCCTCTGATTAATTCGTCAAATTATTGGGATTTTCTTCGATTCAATTCAACTTGTTAAAAAAATTGGGGGTTTTCGATTCAATTCAATTCGTTTCGAAATTGGGATTCGTTTCAATTCAATTTATTTAACAATTTGGGGTTCTCTTGTTTCAATTCAATTCGTTCAATTTTTTATTTATTTATTTTTTTTGTTTTTGTTTTGGGGGGGGGGGGGTGGGTTCGATTTAATTCAATATGTTCAAAAAGTTGGGGGTTTTCCGATTCAATTGAATTAGTTTAAATATTTGGGGTAATTTTGTCGATTCAATTCTTTTTGAATTAGAATTTATTTCGATTATTAAGCTCGTTCACTGTCTAATTGGTTAAATTCTTAATGAAGGCTGCTAGAAAATCAGCTCCAACTACCGGAGGAGTCAAGAAGCCTCATCGTTACCGTCCTGGAACTGTCGCTCTTCGGTAAATATTCAATTTTCAAAATTTGTCTTCAATTGTTCCTTTTTTTTGTTGTACTAAATTTAAAATTGAGCTTATTATTTGAATCTTTTTATGATGATCAGTGAAATCCGCAAATATCAGAAGAGTACTGAGCTTTTGATCCGCAAACTCCCCTTCCAGCGTCTTGTTCGTGAAATCGCCCAAGATTTCAAGGTAAAAACTAATTACAATCTAATCAAAATCTTGAATATAAATATGACTTGTTATTAGTTTTATTGTGATTGTTACTGATTAGGGTTTTGTGGTGTTGATGATGAACAGACTGATTTGAGGTTCCAGAGTCACGCTGTATTGGCACTTCAGGAGGCGGCCGAGGCATACCTTGTGGGTCTCTTTGAGGACACCAACTTGTGCGCCATTCATGCTAAAAGGGTGACCATCATGCCTAAGGACATTCAATTAGCTCGTCGTATTCGTGGCGAGCGTGCTTAAGTTGATTGAAGATGGATATGAGTAGCAGTTCTTAGGATGAGTTTGATAGATTAAGTTAAGATACAGCAACATTTAGTGGGTCTGTTGGTGTGGTGGTGTATATACTCTATACCTACTCGGATATGTTTTGAAATACATTGGATACATGTTTTATGGTTTTCGGATTTGTTTTGAATTCATCTCATTCATTCATTTTGCTGTTGATTACTTGATGGGATGTTTGATTTATTCACTATGTATCTCTTCTTATGCTATGTTATGTTGTGGTTATTCTACGATTTGTGTGTAATGGTTTAGATTTTGGTAAAGTCCCATGGCGTGATTGTTTGATTTGTTTCATATGTTGGTTCTTCCATCGTACTGGAGTAGTTTTGGAATGGAAGTACAGGAATTGTTACGAGGAAGGCTTAAGATTTACAGTAATTTGTTACCCTATCAACTGTCAATGCAAAGGAAATTCAATTCAATAAATTGTTTTTGGTATAATGGTACTTTGTTTGATATGTACAAACTACAAAGTAGTATGCTTACACTATGTTCTGGGTTGTGCGATGTGTGCATTTTGGCTGACTCATGGCCGAGGACTCTGTTTGGGCATATCTGTAGTGTGTGTAGTTTATGGATTGCCTCCAATGTAGTCTATGTTGACTTGTTGAGGTATTTGCTTCTACAGTTGTATTTGAATTCATGAGGAGGCGAAGTTTTAAAACACGAGTAGAGTTTAGGGGTATGGTTTTAAGGGGAGAGTGGGGGTAGAGACGTAGAGTGAAAGCAGAACCTGAACCCTGCAAATTATGTTGGTCTTGGTTTGATTATCCTTTTTGCATATAGATTAATTTGTGTATTTTAGCCTAATTATCGCAATTATTTGTGTACAAGTTGATCATTTAAATTAAACCTTTTCAATGCAAATTATAATTTTAACAACTTTAGCTTTTATAGAGTACATTGCAAAATGCAAAGGTTATACATATGTATTTAGTGTCAACAAGTCCCATGGTGTGACGTGAGTGACACTATATAGCTAACTAATCAATGGCTAATATTTCAACTTTTAATTTAAGGATTTTTCTGTAAATATAAAAAATTATTCTGCATGGTAATCGTCAAAAAAGAGGAAGAGGAAAAGCCATCAAGATCTACACAACCAGATCAGAACACTAAAGACCAGCACCCAAACACCCCATACAAGTGATACCAAGCGACAACCTATGTAAAAAATGAATGACTACGTGTTGTTTTCTTGCATTTAACAATTGAACTTGTACATTAAAACTCAACAAATTGATAAGTCTTAGAAAGTAAACCTCACCCCAAAACTCCACATACTCAACCTAGAAAACAAGATTCAAAAGATGAAAAGAAAAAAAAAAAAAAAAAAAAAATCCTCGGATACACCCATAAAAACAAGTAAACAACCAATCAAAATTCAGAACAAGAATATTCTAATACTTTGGATCTCTGACGTGTCACATCAATTCGGTTATAAGTTTCTTATAACATCCCAAACCCACGTCCACGTCATCTTCTATTTTTCTTGCACTTCCTCCCAATTCAGCACCCCTGTTTTACACTCCCATGCAGAGCTTCTCAACTCCTGCAAACATTTCTCTGTGTTTTAAAACCCTAAATTCTGATTTCCACTTGAATTTCTCTCTCTTCATTTTGGTAATTGCCAGGTTTTATTCATTATAGAGTAGTTTTGTAATCGATTTCTTTCTTTAATTTCTTTGTTAGCCTTTCAGTTCGTTCGATTTAATTTATTTAACTACATCCAATTGTTTTCTGGAATTTTGCATTTCTTTGAGTTCTTCAGTTTGAATTGTATGACATCAATTAACTGATATACAACGTGTTATTTTTCTTGAATATCGTGCAGTTATTGTAGTTGAAATTGAATCGAAATGGCTCGTACTAAGCAAACTGCTCGTAGATCTACCGGTGGAAAACCGCCCAGGAAGCAGCTTGCTGCTCTAGCCACCGTAACTTTTTATCTTTAAGAAAATAAATCTCGATTTTGTTTGAATAATTTGATTTTATCTATTTATTTTCCTTAAATTCTATTTTTAAATTGATGAGTAGGGGGGAGGAGAAACAATTTCAGGAAGAGTGAAGAAACGTCGTCGTTTCCGTCCTGGAACTGTCGCTCTTCGGTAAATTTTCCAAGAATTTCAGTATATTTGACATTTAATTTGATTTGATATTTTATTTTCACTTTGATTTTGATAATGTAGTGAAATTCGCAAGTATCAGAAAAGCACCGAGAAGTTGATCCGCAAAATTCCCTTCCAGCGTCTTGTTCGTGAAATCGCCCAACAATTTAAGGTCATATTCATTTACATTTTAATCAGAAATTTGTATTTAATCATTCAGTATAAATTGAAATTAAAATAGGGAAATATAGCTGATTTTTTTTTTTTTTTTTTGTTGGTTTTTTTAATAAGAGCAGATTGAGCTGAGGTTCCAGAGTGATGCAGTGATGGCACTACCGGAGGCGGCCGAGTTGTACCTTGTAGGTTTGTTTGAGGAGACTAACTTGTGCGCCATTCATGCTAAGAGGGTAACCATCAAGCCCGAGGATATGCAGTTAGCTCGTCGTATTCGAGGCGAGCATGCTTAAGAATGAATGAAGATTATTGAACAAGGATGTAATGTTTAGCAGATTTTAGGAGATGGCAAGGGTGTGTTGAACTTTGTAGTTGTTCTGCTAGTGGTGGTGTATATACATTCATACGTACATTCATACAATGATACACATATACATTGATACCTAGCAAGTTGAATATGTTTTGGATATGTTTTTTCGCATTTTATGTTGTTGAGATTGTATTAGGGAGTACGCATTTGTTTTGAACAAGTCAATAAAAATGCTTTTAGTGTTGAGAAGTCTGAATATATATATTACTTTGTCTTGTGTTAGCAATATATTTTGTTGTTTGGTTCGTTGTGTTTACTTTTGTTGATTTTATATGTGAATTCATCGATTTAGGTGGTTAATTTGGGCAAACGTTTAAAGAATGTTTGATTTATACCAAGTATATAATGACTGATTTTCTCAATTGTACCGGAGTAATGTTACAATGTTGCCTCAAATGTCTTTTAAATTTGATTTTCACTCATTTAAAGAATGACGTAGTAGGCCTAATTGGTACTTGCTGGCTAATTACTTCAATTTGATTTCATATACAATAATATACGAGGGCAATTTGGGTAAGGTATTAAGGTTTTAAGGATCGGAGAGAGGGGATATATAGAGTGAAAGCAAAACCTAAATCCCCAAAGTGTGTTGGACGGTATAGTCATGTTACATTAAACATTAATACATTATCATCGATCCTTTTTGCATATAAAGTATGCGTTCTAAGAGTATTTTAACCTATATAATCCAATTATCTGTGTATAAGTAGATCATCAAAACTTCTTTCAGTGCGAGTTATATTTTTTCACAACTTTAGCTTTTATGGAGTAAAATTCAAGGTTTGTTCTTTGAACTACAATGTATGTCTTTACTCTTTAATTAGTGTCCATTTTTGGAATGTAACAATCTTTGATACTTTAAATGACCTAACTAATTAATGGCAAGTATTAGTACTTCTACATCCAATTAATAATGGAGTATTTTTTATTTTATTTTATTTTATTTTCACAATCAAAAAGGTGTTTATAAATTACTCCATATAGTATTATAACGTATTTGTTACCATTAAATTCCAATTTTTTCTTTGTTTAAAGTCTAATTTAGATCGAGTACAAATAAATAACTTATGAAGGGTCCATTGTAATCACTATAGAGTGCTCCGAAGTTCTATTATTGATACTGTCAAAACATAGATCGAGTTAAGACGACCCATAAAAAATGAGATTTATTTGGTTCAGTACAAGGTAATAGTTGTATTTGTAGTGTTGTTTTCAATCTTTTTATATCCTTAACAATTACTACTTGGGCTTGTACATTAAAACGCAATAAATAGATAAGTCTCACAAGATAAACCTCAGCTCAGCCCAAACTCCACATTAAATTTTCAAACATTTTAGTTACACCGTTAACTTCCTCCACACTCAACCATACTAACAAAAAACCAGACAAAAAAAACACAAATCGTAACAAACAATCCTCAATTCCCCGCCCCTAATTAAATCAACCAATCAAAATTCAGAATCCAGAATATTCTAATTCCTTGGATCACTGACGTGTCACATCAATTTAGTTAAACCCACGTCCACGTCATCTTCTTGCACTTTCTTCCAATTCAAATCTTTTCTCCCCCCTTTAAATATAAAATACCCCCCAACATTTTACAGCAGAATTTCTCAACTGAAGCAAACATTGCTCTGTAATTCCAAACCCTAAATCCTCAATTCCAGCTCAATTTCTCTCTCCTCGGTAATTTCGTAATCAATTTCTTTGTTAGTTCTTCAATTTGTTTAACTTGATTCAATTGTTTTCTGGAATTTTGCTCTGTTTTTTCGTTATTGTTGAATCACCACGATAATCTTTACTCTTAATCGATTATTTAACTTTGAATGTCAATTTGAATTATATAACTTCAATTAATTGATTTACAACTTGTTTCAATTCTTTCGCGCAGTTGTTGTAGTTGATATCGAATCGAAATGGCTCGTACTAAGCAAACTGCTCGTAAATCTACTGGTGGTAAGGCTCCTAGGAAGCAACTTGCTCGAAAGGTACATATATACATTCATCATGCATCATAATCTTTGATTTCTTGGGTTTTGTTGATTTAAATCGATCTTTTTAATTGATTTGTGTACGATTATTTTGTGTTCTTCTTTTCAAGGCTGCAGGAAAATCACTTCCTGAGACTGGTGGTGTTAAGAAGCCTTATCGTTACCGTCCCGGAACTGTCGCTCTTCGGTAATTTTTCTTAATTTATTTTTACTTGTTGAATTACTAATGGTTGATGATTTTATTTAAGAGTATTTGTTACATAATAGTAATGTTTAATCTTGATTTTTTTTTTTAAAAAATAAATTATTTTGATAGTGTTGATAATGAAAGAAGATTTCTTAATTTTGATCATTTTTTTCGTGATAATGCAGTGAGATTCGCAAGTACCAGAAGAGCACTGAGCTTTTGATCCGTAAACTCCCATTCCAGCGTCTTGTTCGCGAAATCGCCCAAGATTTTAAGGTAAAAACACGATGAACAACTTTATTAAAATCTTGATTTTAATGATGGAAATATTATTTGAAACTGATTAGGGTTTCGTATTGTTTTCTTGTATGAATGAATAATAGACTGAGCTGAGGTTCCAGAGTCACGCAGTGTTGGCACTCCAGGAGGCGGCCGAGGCTTACCTTGTGGGTTTGTTCGAGGACGTTAACTTGTGCGCCATTCATGCTAAGAGGGTCACCATCATGCCTAAGGATATGCAGTTGGCTCGTCGTATTCGAGGCGAGCGTGCTTAAGAATGAAGATTGAACAAGGATGTAATGTTTAGCAGTTTCTTAGAGATAGCAAGGGTGTGTTGAATAATGAACTTTGTAGGAGTTGTTCTGTTAGTGATAGATGGTGTAATAATGGTGTATAATACATTCATACGTACATGCATACGTACATACATACGTATATAAACTCGATAGTCGATATGTAGCTACTTGAATATGTTTTGGGTATTAATTTTTGCATTTTATGTAGTTGAGATTGTATTAGGGCGTCTGCACTTGTTTTGAACAATTAAGTCAATAAAATTGCTTTTAGTGTAGTGAATTCTGAATATATTACTTTGCCTTAGGTTTGCAATATTCTTCGTATTTTTATTTGTTGTTTGGTTCGTTGATGTTTGGTTCGTTATTGTTTGATTTTATTAATTTTATATGTTAATTGATTGATTTAGGTGGTTAATATTTTTTATTTGGACAAAAGTTTAAAGGATGCTTGACATGTATAATGACTGATTTTCTCAATTTTACCGGAATAATATTACAATGTTAGGTGATGAAATGTTAAATTTGAATTAAAATTTGCAATGACAAAAGCTGTGATGATAATGATATAATTTTACTCATAACACCTCAGTAGTAAGGTATCAAAGTTTTTATTGTAGATGGCTAAATATATGTTCATATAAATTTAATTATGAGTTGGAATTAGTACATTATTACTCCATCCAGAGCACATTGCGCATTGTTGTGTACTTGTGTTTCAGTTGGTCTCATATGAACTATAAAATCATCATAACTTGACTTTGTTTTGATCACGCGCCCTATTTCAATTTCATTCACTAGTTAAAAGACACATGATGCACCATATAAATGCGTGTATTTCAAGTTGGAAATTTCTTCAATTCGATTGAAAATGTATGGTGTAAATAAATTTATCACATCCTTATTAAATTTTGTTGCAAATGTTTGCATTTCATGAAGGTTTGATCCTCAGTTTTCAAACCACATGACCTTCTAGTATTGAGTAATGGGTACCTTCACATACAATTATGGACGGCTTAATTATACCTAAAATGGATCAATGTGCAATATTTCATGTAAAGGACATTTTAGTAAATCCCTTTGGATTATATTCTACGTTGCACATCGTTGTTTTTATTAAATTTTTATTTTTTTTTATTTTTGGATGAATTTTCAATGGCTACAAGCAATCTTAACCGTCAAAGTTCAATAAGTCTTTCAATCTTAACCGTCAAATTTGTAGTCACTATAAGTCTTTCAATCACAACCGTCAAAATTCAATAAATAATCTCATCAACCGTTGGTAGGTTTGACAGTATGGTAAAAACAACTAAACATGCAAATTATATGCTTTCGATCATGAAGTAAATTTGATTTAAATTCATAACTCATCCTTCAATTTACCAATGCCTAAAGATATTTGAAAATTAGCAAATAAATAATGGATTGCCAACAATCTAGTGAAGTCTAATATATGTATGATGTATCAGATTAAATGAGATGACCAACAATTCAAGTTTCGTTGGCAAATGGCGATTGTATGATAGTTCGTCTGCCAATGTTAAAACTCGAAATCAACAATGGCTGGAGCGGTTTCTTATCATCTTTCTTTAGCCTTTCTCCTCTAATGCCGCCCAAGCAGTTTAATTTATGGTGGCCAACAATCTCCAATGGGCAAAATCTGAATCGATCCTCTCACTTGATTTTTTCAATATCTCTATGTTATCGTTAATATCAACTCTTTTTGTTTTTCGTTTTTTTTCTTTTTTGTTTTTACATCAGACTAAAATTGTTGTGTACACTATAAAGTTACAATTATTTAGAGATAGTTATCATGGCTACAATTTTATTCTCTATTGCAAAATTATCCTTTGTTTTGTGAAGTTTTGAACCTCAAATCCCAAACCACATGAACGGAAGAAGACTTTATTCATTACGGAGGCGATTACACCATCTAATCGTCAATGGTAGAGTACCATGTCACTTTAAGATTGAATGAAATAATAATAATCATTTTTTTTTTTTTGAAGAAAAATAATAATAATAATCATTTGAATCAAACATTACAATTACAACAGTACATTTTTGAAATCGGACCAAAATTCAATCTTTAGGTCGAAACAATTCGATAAAAACCGTTACCTTGCTCCTCACTCAACCAAGAAAATAGACACTCACAAAAGAAACACAAAAACAATTAAACAAAAAATAAAACCTCAATCCGTCTTCCATAAAACCAACCAATCAAAACTCAGTAATCAGAATTAACTTAATTATTCAGATTAGTGACGTGTCAAGTATTACAGTTATTGTAGCCACGTCAGCCTCTTTCTCTCCAACCGCATTACCCCCCTTCATTTTTCAGTCTCCTATAAATAACCCCCAAACTCCATACTCCCATGCACTCTCAATAATCTCAACTGCACCTAAAATTTCTCAAATACCCCTTCCTTTCTTCAACCCTAATTCTCCGATTGTAGGTATCAATAACCTCTCTTTTCCTCTAATTTTCTCTCATTTTCTCATTATTTCGATTATAATCTAAATTTTTTGATCTTTCCATATGCTTTTAATCAATTTGTTACGTGTTTAATCAGTTTGATTTGTGTGTTTGTTTGGAATCCTTTGAAGTTTTTTCGGTGTTGAATTAGAATCGAAATGGCTCGTACTAAGCAAACTGCTCGTAAATCGACCGGTGGTAAGGCTCCTAGGAAGACACTTGCTCAAAAGGTACCTACATTCATCATGCATCATAATCCTTTTGATTTTTTAGGGTTCGGTATGTCGATTTTATATCATGTAAGTTCGCTTATTTGAATGTTGTACCTTTTTTTTTAATCTATTCTTTTTAATTGACTTGTATTCGATTATTTAGTGTTATTTCCAAGGCTGCAAGAAAATCAGTTCCTAGGTCTGGTGGTGTTAAGAGGCCTCATCGTTTCCGTCCCGGAACTGTCGCTCTTCGGTAATTTTTCTTAATTAATTGTTATTAAAAGTTTTGTTACGTAGTAGTAGTTTTTAATCTTGTTTTTTTTTTTTTTAAAAATTATTTTAATACATTAATGTTGATAATGAATGATGATTTTATATTGATCATTATTTTTTTTGGTGATGATGTAGTGAAATTCGCAAGTACCAGAACAGCACTGAGCTTTTGATCCGTAAACTCCCATTCCAGCGTCTTGTTCGCGAAATAGCCCAAGATTTTAAGGTAAAATATGATGAACAATTTTATTAAAAATTTGATTTTAATGGTGTAATTCAAGTATTATTTGAAACTGATTAGGGTTTTTGTGTTTGTTATCTTGGGATGAATAGGTTGAACTGAGGTTCCAGAGCCACGCAGTGTTGGCAATCCAGGAGGCGGCCGAGGCATACCTTGTGGCTTTGTTTGAGGACACTAACTTGTGTGCCATTCATGCTAAGAGGGTCACCATCATGCCTAAGGATGTTCAGTTGGCTCATCGTATTCGCGGCGAGCGTTTCTAAGAAGGTTGAAGATGGATGCTTGATTGACTGCTTTATGGGAGGAGGCTAATTTACAGAAGTTGGGTTGTTTAGTTGGTATGGTGTGCATAGTATTAAACTCTATTATCAAGTGTTAGAATATGTGGTACATTAGGTACTATTTAGTTTGATGTTATCTTTTGAAAGATTCTAATTAGGGTACCTAGAAATAATCATCGATGGATTAGGCTGTTTTTTTTAAGTACTTAATTGAAACATTAGTAATTACTTCATTATGTTTCGTATTTACTTTTTTATAGTTTGAAATCGTATTATGAATGAATAGATCTTCCTATGATAAGGATGATGTGCGTTATGTCATGTACATCGCAAAATCTACATTTAGGCTAAAATTTCTCCTATCCATCTATTACTATTCATTATTTAATTAAAGTGTGTGTAAGTTAATCAAACAATAATTAGAAAAATCAACTTATTTATGATGAGAAGATTTACAAGAATTACAATGAGAATGAAGTTACTTTTGTTGATCAAACTACGTAACTAAACCAAACTTTGTATATTACAAACAGAATAGGCATGCTACTTTATTAATAGCCTAACTTAAGGTTTTTTTTTATCTTACTGGCACATGATTGAGTTCATGAATTGTAAGGCTCCTTTTCAACCCTTTTAGTTTATTATAGAAGATGAGATTATTGAATATTTGAATTCATGAATTGTAAGTCTCCTTCTCAACCCTTTTAGTTTATTGAAGATGAGATATGACTTCCTGCATATTATTATTCCGTATATCCCAAAGTGCATGATTAGTTTTATTTGTTAATTATAACCAAATAGAATAAAAATACACATAAATCTTAAAAAAAGTGTTTTAATTTACGGAGTAGACTGAATGTGTGATAGGTATATATTATCATATATAAATACTTGTATGCAATAATATCGTGTGAAGAAATAATATTCATTTAAGAAGGGTTTGAACCCAAATGCCTTCATTCGGAACATTAACCATAAACAACAATTATTGTATATGGTCGATTTACAAAAGAATGGTTATTATTATTACAAACATATTAAATTAACTAGACAAACTCACAAACTTTCACTCGTGTAAACACAAATTCAAAGAAAAAAATTGTAAGTATTGCAAACAATTTTTATAAGTTAAAGGAATGTTCTTACACCACCTCGAGATATCCTATTGAACAAAGGAATAGAGAAAAAAACATGATTAGTTGCCTTTTAATTTCTCTTCCTTAAAAATTCCTCCAATTAAATTTAAGAGGAAATTAGAGGAAATAAACGTAGTGTTACTTTCTCATTAGAACCTAAAGATTTTGAGTAACCATGGTCATCAATACGACTTGCCTTTAATAGTTAGAATCGATTTGATTATCATCTATATATTTGTATGAAAATTTTTTGGGTGTACTTTATCATGTATTTGTCTAATTTTCACTTATTTAATCTAATTTGAGTTTATCTGAACTTATTTGATACTATCTAAACTTTTTATACTTATTTTAAATATCAACTAAAAATTGGCTAGCCCTTATGAACCTTAAACTGATTTTATTTTTCCTGAGTTGATGTGCTTATTAGAATAGGGCATTACTTCAATCGGATCATTGTTATCTCTTCATCAAGCTTCTGTAGGTAGTTGGTTCTTGGTGGCCTGGGCTGATAGAGTGATAGTAATACCATTTGTAAGTTCTTAATTTCCCTTCCTTCGCTTCTTTTCTATTGAAATCATTTCTACCAAACATGCAAGTGAACTTGTTACACAAATACACACCATGTCAAAATATGTATAGCTAGATACTGTACATTCATATTTCCTCTCACAAAATTTCAATAGTTCAAACATTTTTATAATTGAGTCAACAAGTCACTTTCAGATAAAGTCAAATTTTGCTAGGTATATACTTGTACTCGTATATATTAAGATTGGGCTAGAAATGTCATTTCGGGTCATCGAGTGGGGTTTAAATAGCTTAGGTTTAAGTCAATCTAAATTATTGTATCCATACAAATTAAAATCTAAATCGGGTTACTTTCGGATAAGGTTGGATCTAGGCGAATTGGGTTAGTTTTTGACATCTTTTGATGGGGCTAGTTGGATTGATTCATAAAATATCTGTCACTTGTGACTGGCAGGCCAGGTCTGCATTGTTTCATTGTTTGACATATATACACAGGATATGTGCATAACTCGATATAGTAGACCGTAGACATCATACAATTTTTTTTTTTTTTTGAAAGAAGACATCATACAATTTTATGTACAAAAGCAAGTAGTTCCCGCAATAAAAAAACAAATTTATAAATTGGATTTTGTATGTTATTGATTCACGGGTAATACTACCCAAGTCTGTTTGCTTCTTAATGATTCAATTCACGGACTGTCCTGGCAGCTCTAGTTTGACACGGTCTAATTCTTAATAATCCATTTATAGTGAGGCTAATCGCAAAATTGTATCAATTATTAGTCGATTAACACTCAATAAACGCTCCCTCAATTTGAAATGTTTAGTCGTGTGAATATTGTAATCTAAAGAAGTAAAGAAACAATTGAGTATATCGTAATTAAAATGACTTTCCTTGCATCTAAGCTGGTGTGGTTCTATCTTAATTTGCTTCAGTAGTCATGAGATGCAACTATGCAACAAGAAACAAAATAGTACTGTTTATGTGTTGTCTATATTGTAGTAAAGGATATTTCCAAAAAAAAAAAACTCCGTATCGTAGTAAAGCAATCTAAATCAAACACAATAATTGTATTATATCTAAATACAAATATATATGCATCCAACATATCTATATCTAAATACACTTATTACATCAAATATCCAATTTTGTTCCACAAATTAATATCTATCATATTGTATAGGAAAAATTGATTTTAGTAATCCCACCTTTAGCCGGTTCGTTGTTAATAATCCCACCTTTGGATTATTATTTAATAATCCCACCTTTATAGGGGATCTTCTTCTATTATTGGTCTCTAACTTGTTGGTAATCGGTTTTGATAGATTAAAATGCCACATGTTGTTTTGTAATTGGTTGAAAAATAAAAAAAAAATAAAAATTAAAAACTAAAAAAAAAAACCCCATCAGCCACCCCTCCACCTACCGTGAAACCCTAACCCTTACCCTTACCCTAGCCCCACTGAAAACCAGCCGGCCTCCACCATAAACCCCCAAAAAGGCCGGTCGGAATAAAAACCACCCCACCGATCAAAGTCACCACCTAAATCAACCCCTGATCCAAACCCACACTCGAAACCACCACAGCTAAATACCCTCGAAACTCCACCAAAAACCGCCATAAACCCCCGAAACTCCACCAAAAACCCCCCATACACCCCTGAAACTCCACTGAAAACCCCTCCTAACCGCTCTTGAAGGGTTTTTATTTATTTTTTATTTTATTGAAAATTGGGGTGGTTTTAGGGAGAGCTGGGTTGGTTGCTGCTGGGAGGGGGTGAAAATGGGTGTTCAGGTGGTAGAAATGGGAGTTCTGGCGGTGGGGATAGGGTTTCCAGCGGTGGGGATGGGGAGGAGCTGAGGAGGGGCTGCCGGAGGTTGGGGGGTTAGGTGGTCGTTGGGAATAAAAAAAAAATTAGTTTTTTTTTTTTTTTTGACCAGATTTTTTTTTAGTTTTTTTTTAGTTTTTTTTTTTTTTTTTTTTTTGAACAATTATCTAGTGCCACGTGTCACTTAAATTAAAAAAAAAAAGAGGTTTACCCAATGTACAGTTACCGGTCATAAGAGAATAATAAATGAAAATCTCCTATAAAGGTGGGATTATTAACAGCGAACCGACTAAAAGTGGAATTATTATAATCAATATTTCCTATTGTATATTTGTATGTACCACTTAGCTACATTACGTATTTTTACAGAATTATGCAATATATGGACCGCCTGATCTATACATCGAATATCTTTCATTCTGTGTACTAGATGTTCAAAAAAGAATTCATTTCTTTTAAGTTATCATAATGTCATGAGACAAGGGCCTTGTATGAGCTTATGAATGTCAACCTTCACATGTATCATGAATATTGCAAGTAGCATATTTTGGGATTGCTAATTTCTTGTTTGTATTCACATGCATAATTTTGTGCTATATACCAACTATTCTTTTTGTCCCTATTTTTTTTTCCCATTTGACTATACACGATCTTCAAGATGCGTATTAAAACGTTTATATCTTTATTTCCATATATGTAAAAATTATAAAGACGTGATATTAATAAAATATACAATGAGACGAATCTAACAACACCACTCATGACTAAATTATCTTTTATCAAAGCTTTCAAAGTTTGACCCCAAAAATGTCAATGGGGCAAAAATAAAGGAATGGAGGGAGTATATTTTACGTCTATGAAGTATTTTTTAGGTAGATAAGAAAAAATACCCCATTAAATCAACTCATCTTGCATGTTAATTGTTTATGTACTCCAGCTTTAGTACATGAAACCTTTCTTGGTACATCTACAAAGTATTAGGTCTGTAATCTGCCTCATAATTTAACCTTAATATACATCCAGCTTATAGTATATATATACAGAAATTCCGATCTCACAAATTTTAACACAAAAAAATAGGTCAATTTGGCATTGTATCTTAACTCTCTTCTTGTAGCTTTTTTACAAAATTAAGAAGATTTATTATGTAACAATTGAGTAAAAAAAGAAAAAAGGCTAATCACATAAGTTGAACCCAAATGCCTACACTAGGAACATTTTGATGAACCACAAATAACATATAAAAGCCCGGAGGAGCAATGTTAATAGATCCGGGTGTTCTAACATTGACTTGAAATCGACCCGAATCCATAGGCTTTGCGGGCGTTGCATTGGTTAGCACCAACAATCTTTGGCTCATTGAGAAGGAATGTGTGTTAAAAGGTGGACTAATCATGGTAACCCTAATTGAATCTAGGTCAATTAACCCGGTAATTGTGAACTTAACCTCTAAGAGCTTTCCATATTGAATCTTAGAGCTAGAAGCTGGGGTAACAATAATGGGTCGTAGTTTTACTTTGGAGGGATCTAAATATGGGGGTGAAAATGCCTCCAAGCTAAGTTCGGTGGGATAAAGCACATTGGTGAAGTTGTTGAACTTATGCGGGTTACTTCCTCCCACTAAAATTCTCCCATCGCGTAGCAAAATTGCACTCGAATGGTACATCCTTGGGACTTGAGTCGGGTTATGGAGTTCGAATCTAGATCCCAAGACATTGCTTGGGTGGTAGATTACTGGGTTAAGTACAGGGTCTCGACCCAACTCCCACCCAGCGCTACCTGAACCTGCCCCGTTTATTAGTAATATATCCTCGTTGGGAAGGATCACCATGTCACTCATGACACGAGCCATTGGCATAGTCTCAATGGCCCAAGTAGGATTAGGATCATTAATCTTAATTCTGGCACACGTGTTTAGAGCTGGCAAAAATTGACGCGAATGTGCCTTCAAGTATGAACCTAGTGGTGCACCCCCACATATTAACACCTCCGCTTCCACATTCAACCCCAACTCCAAATCTTTCAATGGTAAAAGAACCGCGGACCCTGAGCTAGGGTAGCTACGCGGGTCACCACCCGGGATAATTGGATAGGTCCGAACAACAACATTTTTAACATAATCAAGCAAAATAGCTCGATTGTTAGCAAAAATAAACAAGTTCCCATCTACATGGAGAAACACAAAAGGGTACAAGTTGTTCTCCGCATTATGAACGTTAGTTTGTGCTAGAAACGGTAACTTGTAAAGTTGAGAAGTAGAACGTGTTGTTTTTGGATAAAACTCATAATTGAAGGCTCTTCTACCTCCAATGACAATCAAACGACCATCAGGCAAAATATGGTTGGTAGCGTACCATCTTCGTATTAATAACTTGTTGGGAAGTTCTACCCAGTCACATACGTCACAAGATGGTTGAAAAGTTCTAACAACGCGCTCTCCATCGTTGTAACCACCGGTTTGAACAAGTGTACCATTGGGGAGAGTGGCTCCGGAGGAGCACCACGTGTCGGTTAACACGTTGAGAGGACGGAAGGTGTTGGAAAGAGAGTCATACTCCACAGAGTGAGCCGTGCAATCGGTCTTCAAGGCCAAGTCATGAGGGTTGTTACGACATAGACCGTTAGGAAGTGAGACATTAGAAGGGCCAAAATCAGTCCTATCGAAAATTAAAACACGGTCATCATTTAAGAGTTGCATGTGCATGGCAGAAATGCCAATACTTTTTTGTAGGAGCTGCCATTGGCCACCCCGCGCAGCACATATACTGCGAGGGAAGATGATGAGGAGGAGGAAGAAGAAAACGGGAATAATTGACATGAAACGAGATAATGTACTTATATAAATAATACTTGCTTTTTTTTTTCTTTTTTTTTTTTTTTGTGGTTTTGGTTATAGGAAGTATATATGACCAGCTATGAGCAAATTTTTTGGTTGATAATATTTGTATATTTGTAAAGGAATTAGGAGGGGACACTATGTTGGATTATATAGACATGTTGTGAAGTTGATGTGATGAAGAGACAAACTGTGGGCTTTGTCTAATTGTCTTTGAGGAATTGCAATTATGACTGTTTCTTGCACAAGTAAGCAGCACAACTAGTCAACTACCAAGGGCATGTAATTGGCAATGTACATAAAAGTCTACAACATTTACGTTACATGTTAAAGACGTATTTTTTTATTATGACTGCGGAACTAATGGAATGCTAAGTAAACTTTGATACTTTTCAATTCAATTTTTTTTTTTTTTTTTTTTGGTGTAAACTTTTCCACCGTGGTACTCCGTAGATAATTAATTCTGTATATAGAATATAATGCAAATAAGAATAATTACGTTAATTAAGATCAACAACTTTATTAAATTGGATATTGTTTACTATTTATAGTCTAAGCTTTGGGCCATAAGCATTTTACAATCAACATAATTAAGATCAAGCGAGAGGGTTCAATCCCCTCAAGAAAAACTTAAATAGTGAAAATAAATTTGAATAAAAAAAAAAGAAAAAGAAAAAGAAAAGAGAATATAAGCTAATGTAGGATTTGATGTATAAGTTGGACAATGCTAAACGTCTAAAACATTACACAAATGATAGTGTTTTATGCTAATGTGACATTATATTACACATCCTCAATTTGACCATGGAAAGAGAAAAAGATAATAGTAGGAACGAACTAGGAAGAAGAAAGAATTAACAAAATTAATTGATTTAGAACTTTAGAAGGAGGTAAACGCATAGATTTTAATATGGTAATTCTGTAGGTCAGATCTTTACCTTTTATAGATTGTGTAAAGAATTAAGAGGAATTTGTAATTAAACGAAATAAAACAATGCAACCTAAGGATGCATATTTACTAATCTAATCTAAGAATGTATGTTGTTATCAAAACTTGGGATGCGTATTGCCAACGAATTTACTTTATAAGGGTTATTTGGTTTAACACTACAAAAAAGATAGTCGAGCCAAAAAAAATTGATTAATGTGTTGTAAATTCACTTGCACCGCAATGTGGATTCTCATATTGGAGAAAGAATAAGAAAAAACCGCCTTAAAAGCTAGATGAATCGGAACTCCTATTAATGTTGGATCGTGGAGCTTGTATGTAGATCAAACTCTCCTACTTACAAAGCTAGACGGGGTGTCCTTTCTACGACCAAAATCATATCAAAAGAGCTTGTTTCTTTTCTTATCCCGAATTTGTTGTGTTTGATAATAGTATTATTGTGTTATTGTCTTTCACATACTTTCCGATCGTTTATTACATACAGCATAATAAAATACGTATAATAATTGCTTGCATATTAGGCTGATTATATCATATATATATATGATGAGTTGTCACGATGATTAACTTGTGGTCGCCTTTAACTTTGCTAAATTCTATATCAAGGATGCAATTATGCAAACAATTTAATGTTCTCGCTATTGATGATATAGATACGAAAAAAAGACATATTTGTATGACATGAATTCTAATATATGCAGTAATAATGCGTATTGCTTTGGATAATCAAATTAATTTAGACAAAATGAAAGTGATAGTGTCAATTGGACTACTTTGTACACAGTCACATATGCACTAAAATCGCTTCACATATAGGAGTAGGTCGCATAATTAATCAGAACAAGTAATATGTTTTCCTTTGTTTCAAAATAAGTACCACCCCATTACAATTAACATATTTGTCTGTGCGGAATTTGACAAATAATACAAGTATATTGAATTATCGATCAATACATTATATAATAAGTTGATATGATATTCATAAATTATACATTAAGAAGAATCCAACAAGTACTCGGATGACTGTATTTAATCTTACGTATAAAATATTAATAGAAGTTAAAGTAGTGTATGTGAATAGTGCGTGTAAAAGTCAAATTAAGACATTTATTTAAAAATAGAGGGAAATCTACTTAGTATATTAAAGTACGCATTGGGCCAGTCCAACACAAGAGACTTATTGGTGGTTGTATCTAGGCCAATATATCATAATTTGACTTAGCTCAATATGAAGCACTTTGATATGCCCATGGATGTAACTAATACGAACACGGAGTACATCAATAGTGAACCATATAAATTTATGTGTTTATATGTGTTGATCACACATCTCTCTTGCACCTACTCTAACAAATAAATTAAAGTAAAAGTGGCGGAGACATAAAATTCAGTGCAAAAAATCTTCGTGATAAATAACTACGGGTGGAGTACATAACATTGAATTCGTTAGGCTATGAAGGTCCACTGCACCGTCCACTCCATTCATGGCTGCTACAGTATAAACTCCCAATTTCAACTTTTTTTCTCAAAACAAAATAAAATTACTTTGAAATTATTTACAGCTATAAGTTTGTTATAGGTTGGACCACATATTTAATTTGACACCTTACCTATAAATTCAATTCTACACCAACGTTTCTTTTAAAGAGATAAGAAAAATGTGTATTTGACTATTTGACAATTGACATCCTTTTTCTTGATTTTCTGTTTGCAATTGTAAAAAAGAAATATTCATCAATTGAGTTGTACAAACTAGTATAAAAACTTTAGTACGTACAATTTAAAAGTGAAAATCACGTAATTTGAAGCCAAATCCCTTTACTAGGAACATTTTGGTGTACTACAAACAACATATAATATCCGGGTGGGGCAATATTAGCAGATCCGGGTGTAATTACCTCGACTTTAAATTGACCCGAGCCCGTGGGCTTTACGGGGTTTACATTGGTTAGAACCAACAATCTTTGGCTCATTGAGAAAGAATGTGTGTTAAAGGGTGGTCTTAGCATTGTGACCTTAATTGAATCTAGGTCAACCAACCCTTTAATCTTGAACTTGACCTTAAGGTTTTTCCCATAATGGATCTTGTAACCCGAAAGTGGGAAGGTGATGTTCGGGAGACGCTCGGCTTTGCTCGGATGCAAGTATGAAGGAGAAAATGCTTGTAAGCTAAGTTCGGTAGGGTATAGCACATTTGTGAAGTTGTAGGTTCTATGAGGGTTACTCCCACCTACTATAACCCGTCCGTCTCGTAGTAAAATCGCGCTCGAGTGGTACATCCTTGGGGTTTGGGTTGATTTTTGGACTGTGAATCTAGACCCTTGGGCATTATTCGGGTGGTAGAGCACCGGGCTAAGAACTGGGTCTCGACCCAGTTCCCACCCGGCGGTACCAGACCCTACCCCGTTAATTAATAGGACTTCCCCATGGGGCAGAATCAACATATCACCCATACATCGAGGCATTGGCATAGTCTCGATGGCCCAAGTGGGTTTTTGATCATTAATCTTCATTCGCGCACATGTATTTAGAGCTGGCAAAAACTGACCCATATTAAGTGCCTTCAAGTATGACCCTGGCGGAGCACCTCCACATATTAACACCTCCATTTCAACATTCGATCCAAGCTCCAAATTCTTCATTGGTAAAAGCACTGCAGATCCGGTACTCGGATAGCTCCGTGGTTCGCCACCCGGAATAGTCGGGTAGGTCCGCACAACCACATTTCTAGTATAGTCAAACAAAATGGCCTTATTATTAGCAAAAATGAACAAATTTCCATCCACGTGAAGAAACACAAAAGGGTACAAATTGTTCTCTACTTGATGATCATGAGTTTGTGACAAAAACGGCAAATTATAAAGCTTTGTTTTTGGATAAAATTCATAGTTAAAAGCCCTACGACCACCTATTATGATGGACCGACCATCAGGCAAAATGTGGTTAGTGGCGTACCACCGACGTTCCAACAACTCGTTAGGGTGCTCCACCCAATCACAACCACCACAAGACGGTTGGAAAGCTCTAACCACGCGTTCTCCATCATTGAAACCGCCGGTTTGGATTAGGGTACCGTTGGTTAGGGTGACACCGGAGGAACACCACGTGTCAGTTAACACGGTGAGGGGACGGAAGGTGTTGGAAAGAGAGTCGTACTGTACGGAGTGAGCCGTACAATCAACTTGCAAGGCCTCGTCGTTGGAATCCCTACGACAATGGCCATTGGGTAGGGGGAGTCTTGACTCACCAAAGTCAGTCCTATCAAAGATGATAACACGATCATCATTTAAGAGTTGCATGTGCATGGCAGAAATGCCGATACTTTTTTGTAGGAGCTGCCATCGACCACCCCCCGTAGCAAATGTACTACGGGGTGATAGGACGAGGATGGTACATAAGAGGAGGAGGGTATGTGACATGGAATGGGATATCAAAAATTGAGTGTCAATTGTCAAAGTAAGTAATTGAGTTTTTCTTGGTGGTTTTGGTTGGTGTTTGGTTAAAGGAAGAATTTATAGGAGAAATTAATGTGTACATAACCATGGTAGTCTTGTTTATATATTTTTTAGATTTAGTTGGTTGTATTGAATTGGGAGATATATACGAAATACATGTTGGGAGGCAAAAACAGACAGTGATTTTAGTGGGAATTATTGTAGCCTTATAGGTAGGGAGTGAGAGAACATATTATTAGCTCATTGAGCCTTGTCCCTCACAAATTGCATCATGCAAAGTGAGGGTCCTCTTTCTTCTACTGATTTTTTGATGCAAATGTTTTATAATTTTATTGCTTACAATAACTTGAGAAAGAAGTGTTGTATTAGACACTGGTCACCGGTAGAGTACGTATATGCTTAATTCAAAACTAACTAGACTAAGGGTCTTGTATGTCGATCGACCTATCTCAAAGAAATTCAACTTAGAAAACTACTTTGTATGTCCTAATCTGTGTCTTTTATTCTTTCATTCTCTATTGTGCACCCAAGTGTATCTTATTACTCATATTATATCTAATGAATATGTAGAATTACTAAATGTAGCACAAACCTTTTAGCATAAATTCACTACTTAAAATTCCAACTTTTACAAGTATTCTCACTGTCCTAAATGCAAGCTTTCCAGAAGAGAGATACGGTGAGCACTGAGCAGCAGCGCATGTACAACAAGACCCTTTATTCTTCCAACTAAGTACTTGTATATTCTGGGGTAAGCAAGGGGTCACTGATTAGAAGATGCTTTAGCTAATTTAATTTGATCTGCAAGTACATAAATAATGGTGGATTGCTCTAATTAAGCCTCTATATTGACCACTCAATAAAGTTACTACTTTCACTTTGACTCAATTTATGTATAAGTGGCCTGGTAAACATTGTATGACTAAAGGAACAAAAAGAAGATATGATTTAATATTATTAGTATTACTACATTTATCATTTGGGGACAAAGCTATTTAATAACATATTGATATATATCATAGTCCTATTAATTACATTATGCTATACGATATATATGGCACAATGTATATATATATATAAATGCGAAATTAGGATGACAAGAAAAACGTTTTTGGCTCGAATTATGTTCTAGTATGTACATACATATTTCCACCTTATTTAAATTGATTGCAAATTATGGGATACTCCCTTCGTATTTGAATAAGTGCATTAGTTTGACTTTTGCAATGTTCACTTATTTAGTTTGACATGATTTTATACTATCATATACAAGACAAATGACAATGACAGGTGTGCTAATTTAAATTATGCAATTATTCAAAGATAGAGGGAGTAGTCAATTTCCTACTTATTTTATGTTAATAGTCTCCCTTGTACTTAGTATGTATTAGGGATATCTAATTTTCAAATTGAAATTAAGACCTTACTCAGTCACATTATCATCCTTTACATCGTAATATTATCATATGGAGAAAATTTAGAGGTAGTTATTTATACTCCATATCTATTTTTGTTCCATTTATATAAAAAATAATGCACCAGTATAACCAATTTGGTACAAAACTTCGTCAAAAAAAAAAAAAAAAAAAATGGTACAAAACACTTGACATAAAATTTACGAAGTATATCTGGTGGTCAACTTTACCTTGTCCTATAACAAGTTGTACTGTATTAGGTCCACTATTTAATCAGAAAGGCCATGCAACCTCTTACACAATTGCCCTTTAAGTTTTAACAAATTCAATGTAAGATAACTGTTGTGCGACAGCGGAAGCAAAGGTCGAAAACAAACAAGAAAACAATAAAGAAATTCAATGCAAACAATAAGAACAACACCAAGAATTTACGTGGTTCACTATCGATGTGATAGCTACGTCCACGGGCACCGAGATCGAATGATTTCACTATAAACTGCAAAGATTACAAAGATGATTCTTGTATTTCTCAAGAACGGCTCTCACTCTGTCTCTCTTTTTAACCCTAATACTGATAATAGGAAGTTTATATAGTAGTGATTCCTAATTAAGATATACTTAGGTTACAATATCACAATATGATAAATATTAAATTCGTAATCGCTGAAAAAACCCAGATCGCCCGGTCGGGCGAAGGCCCGCCCGATCGGGCGCGAGAACACGTCTTTTCCAACAACCGAAGTACTCCAAAAAACCCCTTCCGCCCGGTCAGACCGGGCAATGTCCGCCCGGTCGGGCGAAGGCTCGCCCGGTCGGGCGAAAGCTCGCCCGATCGGGCGCGCGAGAGCAGCTTCTTCAACGAATTTGCCAGGCACCTCTTCTTCTTCCGCCCGGTCAGACCAGGCAATGTCCGCCCGATCGGGCGGACAAAGCAACGAAGTACGAGTCACCTAATACTTATCAACAATCTCCACCTTGACGAGAACTCGTAGTCAGCAAACGACCCCATCAAGACATAGTGAAAAACATCTCAAGCCAAACCCGATGCAAGACTCATGCATAAGCCATACATCCCGATAAGTCTTCAACCAAGACCCATCACATACTCGTCTCCAAGTATAACAACTCATAATGCTCCACCTGCATCACAAGCCCCGGGCAAGCTCCACCTTAAGGCCAACACACCTACACCAGGAGCTCCCCAACTTCGCCCCTCAGGGCCTACTACATCACGTAGTAATCAATATTTAACAAGTCTAAGCAATGTTTAAACTTGCTAAACGGAACAGGCTTAGTGAAGAAATCAGCCGGGTTGTCAGCAGTCCCAATCTTCTTCACCTTAATCCTCTTGTCAGTACGTAAGAAATGATACCTGACATCAATGTGCTTCGTCCGATCATGGTGTACTTGATCTTTAGCTAAGCAAATCGCACTTAGACTATCACAATACACTGTAGCAAAATCCTGTGCAATACCCAGTTCACCTACTAGGCCTTTGAGCCAAATAGACTCCTTAGCTGCAGAAGTTAGAGCCATATACTCAGCTTCAGTAGTTGACAACGTAACTGATGACTGCAATGTAGACTTCCAACTAACCACAGAACCACCCAAAGTGAACACATAACCAGTCACAGACCTCCTGGTATCCACATCAGCTGCATAATCAGAATCACTGTACCCAGTGACCAAGCATTCCCTACCATTCCCGTACACAAGACCAATATCAGTTGTCCCTCTCAGGTAGCGAAAAATCCTTTTCACCCCTTGCCAGTGTTCCCTCCCAGGTCGAGCCATAAACCTGCTTACAACACTAACAGCATGCGCAATATCCGGCCTAGTACAGACCATAGCATACATCAAACAACCAACCGCATTTGCATATGGAACTCTAGACATATAAGACAACTCCTCCTCTGATTGAGGTGACATAGACAAAGACAACTTACAACTAACAGTAGTTGGCGTACTTATAGGCTTCGATTTTTCCATCCCAAAACGAGACAAAATCTTTTCAATGTAGCTTTTCTGAGTCAAGAAAAGCTTACCTCTAGCCCGATCCCTGTAGATCTCCATACCCAAAATCTTCCTAGCTGCACCCAAGTCTTTCATGTCAAACTCCGAGTTAAGCATCTCCTTTAATCTAGCAATATCAGATTTATTCTTTGTGGCAACCAACATGTCATCAACATATAACAAAAGATAAATCATGGAACCATTATCCAGCTTACTATGATACACACAGCAATCATATGAATTCCTGTCAAAACCTTGTGAAACCATAAAAGAATCAAACCTTTTGTACCACTGTCGGGGGGATTGCTTAAGTCCATACAATGACTTTAGCAATCTGCAGGCATAGTGTTCCTTTCCAGGAACTTCGAATCCTTCGGGCTGCTTCATCAGAATCTCCTCCTCCAAATCGCCATGAAGGAAAGCCGTTTTAACATCCAACTGCTCCAGCTCAAGATCAAAATGTGCTACAATTGACAATAACACACGGATAGAAGTATGTCGAACCACAGGTGAGAATATCTCAACAAAATCAACCCCTTCTACCTGACTGAACCCCTTAGCAACTAGCCTAGCCTTAAAACGTATTTGCTCAGTTTCCGACAACCCTTCTTTCTTCTTGTAAATCCATTTACAACCCACAAGCTTCCTCCCTTCCGGTACCTTTACCAGTTCCCACACTCTGTTCTTGTAAAGAGACTGCATCTCTTCACCCATTGCGGCAAGCCATTGCGCAGACTCACTACAACTAATTGCTTGTTTATATGTGGCAGGTTCAAATGACTCTACATCATCAGCTACACTCAATGCATAACCTGTCATCGCATCAACACAGCAATTTCTTCCCTCCATCTCTTCAATCAATCTAACAGGCTTCTTGATAACTCGTTTAGGCATCTCAAGAATGGTGTCAGGTTGACTAGATGACCCCTGATTAGATTGCTCCACCTCATCCCCAGAGTTAGAATGAGTAGGAGTAATCTCAGGTTCAGGAGTACCCGGCACTGGAACATCAGCATCATCATCAATATATTGTACCCGAGGTAAATCAGCAATGGTAGACTGATGTACCTCAAGTACCCCATCTGTCTGTAATAAATTGTCTCCTTCCCTTCTCAAATCTGAAATCTCTGCATTTTTAATTGAATACATGGTGTTTTCATCGAAAGTAACATCCCTACTAAGAATGACCCGACCCTCCGAAGGTGAAAAAATTCTAAACCCCTTCACACCATCCCCGTACCCAACAAAACACCCCTTCTTGGCTCGTGGATCCAGCTTACCCTCAATAACATGATAATAAGCAACACAACCAAAAATCTTCAAATTCGAAAAATTAGGCAACTTACCACTCCAGATCTCAAACGGAATTTTGGAATCAATTCCAGAATGAGGACCCCTATTAATGACATAACAAGCTGTTAACACAGCTTCACTCCAGTACCTCCTCCCAAGCCCTGCATTAGAGAGCATGCATCGAACTCTCTCTAGCAGTGTCTGATTAACCCGTTCTGCTACACCGTTCTGCTGTGGTGTCTTCCTGACAGTATGATGCCGACCTATACCCTCATCTGCACAGAACTGATTAAACTCGTCTTTGCAAAACTCTAGCCCATTGTCCGTTCGTAGCTTCTTGATCTTCCTTCCTTGTCGATTTTCCACCAAAGCTTTCCATTGCTTGAAAACTTTGAAGGCCTCATCCTTTGACTTAAGCAACCTAAGCCATGTGTATTGGGACTTGTCATCAACAAATGACACAAAATAGTGGTAACCTCCCATACCTTCAACTCTAGATGGACCCCAGCAATCTGAATGGATGTAATCGAGCACTGCATCAGTAATGTGAGCACCCTTGCTGAACTTTGACCTGTGTTTCTTACCAAACACACAATGCTCACAAAATTCAAGG